CCTCCCGCTGCTGCTGCAACTCTTGCGCCGATCGCGACCTTGGCGGCGAGAGAACGAAAGGCCGCCGCGAGAGGGGCATCATGGTCTCCAAGGAATGCACGGTGGGCTTCCCTGGAATCCGACAGTGCGAAAACATGCAGCATCGCAGCGAATCACGAAAGGAGCCCTAGACCCCATCCTTGTGAACGTTTTCTTATTTGGCGTCTCGAAGTTGGGCGGAAGGGGGGGGCGGAAGGGGGAGGGTCTGGTTCCAGACCTCTGCTTCATGCGACTGTTTGCAACAATGCGCTCTATGGGAGAGACTCCACCTGCTTGAAACAGGTGCCAAAAACAACCAAAATCTACTCCATCAGGGAGGGGAGCGGGTGCGAGGGCCCGCGCCGATCGGCCAAACAATGCATGCAGCAACGACCATTCTCTGCGGCATGGTTCGGGCCGGATCGGTCTGTGACGGTCCCGGAGCCCGAAGCCTGGCGAAAACGGCCGGTGTGAAAGCCTTGCAGCGCCCGGGGCTCAGGCCTCCCAGAAACCCTCCAGGCCCCGCTTCTGAAAGGTCGGAGACCCTGTCAGGAGCCCCTGGTACGTCTGGCAACCCAGACTCCCGACGGTATATTTTTTCCCATGCGCGGCTCTACCTGGTCCCGACCCTTCCCCATGGCCAACTCGTCGCCCCGAACTCATTTTTGATGGCCCTAGGGCCAGGCACTGGCAGAAATCAAAAAGAAACAGGTGTATTGTTCTCGTCCTGGGTCGTTCTTTGACGGTCTCGGGGCCTGGTGATGGCGCCCCAGAGGCGGAAAATTGCAAACACCCTCCCGTTCTGGTGACTCTGCTGCCGTCTCAGGCCCCCGCCCCATCTTCCTCTTCTCTCCTTCCTCCTGGTCCTACTCCTCCCTCCAAGGAGGGAGAGGATGAGGATGAGGATGAGGATGCTGAGGAGGAGGACCAGTGTAAGCCCAAACCGCCTTCATGATGTTGCAACAAACCTTCCCTCCAAGTTTTGTCTTTATAGGGCTCTACCACGATGTTGTCATCGTGGAAATGACCCATCGGAAGACAATCGTCTGACCTCAATCGTGCTGAAACATCATTTCTGGGACTTTACGCCGCGAGCCGACATGACTTTTGTATCCTGACAGGCCCAACTAAGGCCAGAACGCCTTTCCTGGGACTTCAACTCCGTGGCTCAACGGGACTTTGGCGTCCTGACAAGCCTAAAACGTGCCAAAGCACCCTTCTGGGAACTTCAACCATACGAACCGTTGAAACTGTTGCGAACTAATACAACGAATGTGCGCGGCGCTAAGCGAAACCAGCATTTTGAAAACGAACCGTTCTCCATCGATGAAGCTGCTACGAACCTTTAAAACGACTGCGCGCAGCGCTAAAGCGAGAGCAGCATTTTGAAAACGATCCGCCCCCCATCCTTGAAGCGAGACCCACATTTTGAACAGGAGCCGCCCATCCTTGAAACTGTTGCAAACTTTAAAGACGATTGTGCGCGGCGCTACAGCGAAAGCCAATCATTGAAAACGGCCCGACCTCCATCCTCGAACCTGTTGCAGATCTCAAACCTTACGCTTATACGCGGCAGCAAAGTCTCAGGCGCGCGGCGACAAAGTCTCAGGCGAAACGCCTGGCTTGCCCTACCGTCGCGCCTGGGGGTGCACAAGGAGGAGTGTATTTATATATATATATATATATATGGAAAAGGTGGAGGAGCAGGAAGCGGAGGAGGAGGAGGAGAAGGAGGAGGAGGAGAAGGAGGAGCAGAAGGCAGAGGAGGAGGAGGCGGAGGAGGAGGAGGAGGACGAGGAGGAGGAGAGGGAGGAGGACAAGCTAGATGCGCTAGCTTCACATCTGACGTCCTACCCCGCCCTCCCATACCTTACCATGGCGAAGATCTCTTATCTACTCACACGATGTCGAGCAGGGCAATAATCCCAAGAGGGTACGCGATGGATGGAACAACGTGGCGTAGAAGAGCACGGCAGAGAATATCATGTCATAACATGGCGTGGCATTGCGTAATGAATCATTGCATCACAATGCATAGCCACGTAAGGCATGGCATCGCACAGAGGTGCACCCACGGAAATGAGACCAGCGCTGCAGCGGGAGCACGCTGTAGAAGGACTGCAACGCGGGAGCGAGGCCAGGACCGGATACGGGAACGAGGCCACCGCTGCAGCGGGTGCACGCTTTCGAAGGACCGAAGCACTGGAACGAGGCCAGCGCTACAGCGACAGCGCGAGTTGGAAAGACCGAACACGACAATGCTGCTGCGGAGACACGATTTGGAACAACCGAGGGCGCCGGAACGAGGCCAGAGCTGGAGCGGGAGCACGATTTTGAATGACCGAAGCGCGAAAATGAGAGCGGCGCTGCAGCGGGAACACCACTTTGCAAAAACAGGAAACGACAATATTGAATAAACGCAAGAAGAAGAATCTACTCATGAAATTCTGTGTGAAGAATAATACGCTGAGTCGACGGGGCACTCTCCGGACAGAGTCAGGCGAGAGAGAAGAGTAATACTCATATTGTGGAATTGTGGAGGCGAAGGAGGAGGAGGAGGCGGAGAAAGAGGAGGAGGAGAAGGAGGAGGAGGCGGATAAGGAGGAGGAGGAGGAGGAGGAGGAGGAGGAGGAGGAGGAGGAAGCGGAAGAGGAGGAGGCGGAGGAGGAAAAGGCAGGAGCCGGAGGAGGAGGATGAGGAGATGGAAGAGGAGTAGAAGGAAGAGGAAGAGGAAGAGGAGGACGACGAGGAGGAGAGGGAGGAGGACGAAGCGGAGGAGGAGGAGGGGGAGGAGGAGGAGGAGGAGGAGGAGGAGGAGGAGGAGGAGGCGGAGGAGGAGGAGGAGAAGGAGGAGGAGGGAGGCAGGAGGCGGAGGAGGAGGCGGCGGAGGAGAGGTGGAGGAGGAGGAGAAGGAGGATGTGGAGGAGAGAGGCGGAGGAGGAGGAGGAGGAGGCACGAGGAGGAGGAGAAAGCTCTTCTTGCTATGGACTGCAGCACGGCGGACTCTGGACGGACCGACGTGCTGGGAAAGAAAAAGGAAAGGCCTCATATGACCCAGTACACGTGGTAGTCGAAGCCGGCTCTGTGAGGAGAGACTGGAAATTGAAGCACCAACCGTACCCGAACCACCCTTGGCCTTCAGCAGCTCTAGCACCCTCGCGAGAGATGCTGCCAGCCGAAAGTAGCCCGATTAGCTGCTCCGCCTCCTCGCACTGATTACCAACAAATTCCACGACCCCCCGAATAACGATCAGCACCCGCACCTGGGCCCGAAACGTCCCTGCCATCATCGATGCCGACGCGTTCAGGAGCGTGATTAGGGCCAATATCAAGAAAACCACCTTCGGGATGTACAGCTTGACCGCCACCTTGTGCAGAAACGCTGGCGCTGCGTTCGCGGGCGTCGCCGTCGGCGTCCACGTCAGCAACATCACCCTCTGGCTCATACTCAGCACCACCAGTCCCGCCTTCGCCACAGAGACAAAACTATCACGTATCACTCGCATCTGACCGACTCCTTCATCGTGAGCTTCCGCTCCTGCACCCTCAGCTTCTTCTTCACCTTCTTCTTCTCACGCCGAGCCAGCAACTCCGAAGAGGTGGCGGTGGCACACCGTCGCGTCCTTCGCGGTGGAGTCCTCGCACTCCTCGGCGGGCGCGGCGGCGCAGGGCAATGTCGAGCTCGAACTCGGAGGGAGCGCTGGCCCAAGACGGGCGTACGCTTCCTGGGTCGCCCTTCCCGCACACGGGTCCGTGGGGGCGAAGACGCCTGAAGGATGAGGAGGAGGAGGACGAGGAGGAGGAGGAGGAATGGGAGCCAACATCTTCTCATCCTTGAGCTCCATCGTCACCCTCTGCTCGCGGTGCGAGTGGGAGTTCTGCTTGCCCTTCACGCTCCCCTTGCGCCTCTTCTTCTTCTTCTTGACGGGGCCGTCCCTCCACCTGACCTCCTCCCGCTGCCCAGCTGCCAGGGCCGAACAGCCCGACCTCGAGGGGGGGGGGGGGGCGGGGGGCGTCGGCGCGGCGCAGGCACCCGCTGCACCTCCTCGGATACGATGGGACCCTCCCCGGAAGCCCGGTGCAGCACCGCCGCTGGCGAAGGAGGCTGGAGCACCTTGCGCACACCCTCCGAGGTGCGCACCAGGACTGCCCCTCCCTGCAAGCAGCCTGCCAACGTACCGGTCGTCGATGTGACAATGTCGCCATGGCCGTACAGCTTCGTGGGGAGGTCGCCTGAGACCAGGCCGTGAGGAACACACAAGTGCGCATGCAATACAAGAAGAACACGACGGACGCGAAGAAACAGGTAGTCGTGCCGCCTGCACTCCACCCCCTGCTGTCACGGGCCAGAAAGCAGCCCGCGCCTCCAAAGACCCTCAAAGCAGCACCATGGGGTCCAACAGCAGGCCTTGGGCTCGGAAATCTCGAGCCCAAGTGGCTTGAGAAAGGAGGAGGAGGCGGAGGAGGAGGAGGAGGAGGCGGAGAAAGGGGAACGCCACCCCCCTTTGTGCGGGCCGCCAGCGACCGCAGCTCCTCCAGCTCTGCCCGCTGCTGCTCCAACTGCCCGAACAACGCCGCGTCCTGCCGCCCCACCCGCGACCGCAGGTCCCTCAGCTCTCGCAGCACGTCCTGGACCCTGTCCTCGGCCGAGAGTCATCATCGTCGTCGTCGTCGTCGTCGTCGTCGTCGTCGTGGTCGCCATCGTTGTCGTGGTCGCCATCGTCGTCGTCCTTCTCCTCCTCCTCCTTCTCCTTCTCCTCCTTCTCCTCCTCCTTCCCACTCTTCCGTCTTCATATAATCTCTCAGGAAATCCATCGGTTTACTTAGGAAATCCATGGCGTTCTCCGACATCAATCGGATTCCGTGGGCCATCCAGAAGATCCCTGCGGAAATCCAGAGGATTCCATAGGACATCCATATGATTCCGGAAGAAATCGATATGAATCCTTAGGAAGCCCGTCGGATTCCTTAGGAAATCAATGGGTTTCCGGAGGAACTCCGTGGGATCCCTCCCGGTCGCCCGCCCGCCCTCCCCTCCTCGCCCCCTCTCTTCCCGCCCCGGGCGGTGCGACGTGCGCGCAGCGGAGGCGCCGCGCAGCCCTCGCGCGCGCCTGTCGAGCAGTGGGCACGTCGTCGTCGTCGTCGTCGTCGTCGTCGGAGATCGGGGTTCGAGGATCAAACTTTTCCTTAGTTGTTCATCTTTTTCGGGCCTGCCGGAGGCTTCTCGTCGCCACGGTCGGATACCCCTCGAATCCCTGGCAGGAACGCACCCCTGAGGTCGATTATTGAGGGGCGTGGGCCGTCGTCGTCGACGCCGTCGTCGGGGATCGCGTCGTCCGAAGATCGCTCCGCGACGTGCAAGATGGCCTCCAGACGATCCAAGAGGCCCCACGAGGGCTCAAGAGGCCATCCAAGAGGTCCAAATACTGAATTTCTTTGGTTCTTGTGTGACTTTGAATCTATTGTTTTCTGGGTTTCGATGCCCCAAGACGGCGCAAGAGGCCCTCCGTGGCCCAAGAGGCCCCCAGGCCGCCCAAGATGGCACACAGACGGCCGAAGAGGCCTCAAAGACGGCCCCAGACGACCCCAAGATGGGGCCAAAAGCGCAAATTGACATGTCCAGCCGTTCGCCCCAAGATGACCCCAGAGGCCGCCAGCTTGCCCCCAGAGGCCCGCAAGGAGCTCCAGGAGGCCCCAAGAGGCCCAAAATAGGCCCCAAGAGTCCCCCAAACGCTCAAACGAGGCCCAAGTTTGGAGTCCCGAAGTGGTGCGGTGACAGACCGTGCGGTGACCTCGAAATCCCCCAGGACCTCACCGCACGGTCCGTCACCGCACGGTCTTGGGACCTCGGAGGCCCCAGTCGCCCGAGACATCCTCGGAGAGAAATTCGAGTCCCAAAACCGTGCGGTGACCCCGAATCCCCACCGACTCACCGCACGGTGTGGTCACCACCCCGTTTGGGGGCCCCCGACCAAGACACCCGAGAACAGCACATCAGGGGCTTCCGGGAGGCCTCTCAAGAGATCCCAGCAGGCATCCAAGAGGCCTCTGGCCTACAACCCAGGCGCGGTGGCGGGACGGGCCGAAGGCCTCTCTCTCTCTCTCTTTGTTTCAAACCTCTCTCTCTCTATATATATATATATATATCTACACACATGTAAATATGTGAGTGTATTCATACAGCTGTGCTCGTGTTGTTTTATTGCGGGGCCATATGAAGCTCTGGCAGCCCATTTAGATCTCGATGGATCCCGATGGCTTTCCATAATTTCCTGTGGGGCCCCTCTCTGGATCCCTTCTAGTTTTAATGTGTTTGGAAGTGTCCGCTCGATTCCGACGGATTCCTATGAACTTGATGTAATATTATAATATTTCATGGTTCTCATGATTCATACGGGCTCCCACGCCTTCCTATGGCTCTTGTGGGTCCCATGCTTACAATCTGATCCTCGGATCTCTGTGCGTTGATCCATACGTCGCCTCGTGAAGGGTTCTTTTCCATAAGAGCGAACATGCTTGCAACTGGCTTGTTTTCGAAATATGGGGCGCGCCCTTTACGTGTGTGGATGGATACACTGAAGGGTAAGGCTTGGCGCTCATATGCTCATTAGGCGAGTCGGCCGGACAAATCACCTGCACGCCCCCTCCTCCTCCTCCTCCTCCTCCTGCCCCTCGCCCTGACCTTGCCCACACCTTGCCCCTCCTCCCCCTCTATCTATCCCCCTTGGTCCGACGAGGGAGAAAGAGAGAGGGAGAGAGAGAGAGAGAGAGTGATATGGAGAGAAGAAAAACAGAAAATGAGAGAGAGAGAGAGAAAGCTAGAGAGAGTCCCACATTGCGATATAATCCGAACCAATGCTCCTTTCTTGTCACTCGGCCTCGAGGGCCAACGTCTGTGGGGATGCACCAAACAGGAGCGCTGTGAGCGTGCCCTGAGCGCTCAGAAAGAGAGAGAGAGAGAGAGAAGGGATAGAGACAGAAAAGGGAGAGAGCGAGAGAGAGAGAGAACGAGAGAGGAACGGTGCCTTCCCCTTGGCAGTCCTCCACGCTGCCAGCGACGGAGTCGAGGTGCGAGATGGTCAGGCAATGCCAAGGGGGGGGCCACCATCAGGGGGATGTAGCCGCCTCCTCGGGAGGAGGATCCCTGAGGGCCTCCTTCAGCCCCGAGACCCCCACAATCAAAGAAAGAAACTGCCCCAAAAACCTTCTCGATCCTTGATCACTGATCCGTGAACCTGGACCGACCCTCAGGAGGAGCTGGCGACCCCCCCCTACGAAGGCTTCCGACGTAATGTTTTTTTTTTCAAGGCGCGCCCCCCAAAAAACTCCCGACCCCTTCTCCGGGGCACTTTTTCTCATCCGGCATGGCTGCTCCTGTTCCGAGAAGCCTTGTAGCCCGACAGCCCCCCTAGGTGCGCAGTTTTGCGGAACGCCTCCGTCTTGACGTTTCCAAGGCGTCGGGGGAGCTGGCGACCACCTGATGCCACGCAGGAGGCGTATGCACCACCACCACCACCATGCCCAGCCCGGGCCCTGGCACGGTGTATAGTCGGACCTGAACCAGAAGAGCATCCTTCAAGACTCTGATACCCTCCGTCGGCCAAAACAAGCAGAACATCCAAGGTTACCTCCCCAGGTGCACGAGAACATCAAACAAACCCGAAGAACACGAGGGTAACCTCCCCGAGCCGACCTCGATCTTCTACCTCGGTCCGACTGTACACGCTCTCCTTCTCTCGGGTCGGGCGAAAGGGGGGGATAGCAAAGGGGGGGATTGAGAATCAGCTCCCGTAGCTGATTTTCCCGGCGCCTCCCGGCGCCGGAGGCGGCTATGTATCGAGGAATGGGCCCCTCGGCGAGGCCGAAACCAGCTGCATGCAGCAAATTTCGTAACCCCCCCTTTCCCAATCCCCCCCTTTCGCCCGACCCGATTCTCGGCCGAGACCGGGGAGGGTTTGTACACTCTCCGAGGGTCCAGGATGGCCCTGGCCGGATATTTTGGTGGTGGTGGTGGTGTACACTGTCAGGAACTGTTACTCAGCGTGCCGCGGCGGTGGGCCTGTCGACACGCTAGTTTTGCGAGCTGGTAGGTTGCCGCTCCGCTCCGCGGGGCGGCAGGCTTCGAAGGGCTTGGGACGCTGACGCCTAGGGACCAGGAAGTGAGTCAGCGTGTCGCGCCGAGGCGTGGTTGGCAAGAGCCCGGCGGAGCGACACGCTGAGCCAAAACTCCTGACAGTAGATCTCTTCTGCGGGCTGAGTGGGCGACGAAAGGAAACGGGCCTCACGCGCGAGATAACACAGCGACACCAAGCGGTGGCTTACGCGGGCTGCCGGCGCGGCACGCTGCACCAGAGACGAGGGCGCTTGCGCGCGAGCTTACGCGGGCAACTTGCGCGCTAATGTTGGCGAAGACGACTCCGTGAAAATACGTCGCTCAAGTGGCGACCCGAGATGGCATTGCCTGGGATGGCCTCCTCCAGGCTGTCGTGCGCCGTGCCGCTGTCGCCCGCGCCCTCGCCCGGGGCGGTCCGTGGGCTGTGGCCCCCCAGCTTGCCGAACGTCTGGGCGAGGCGCCTGGTGGTCACGGCGAGCTGCCCTGCTCTGGCGTCGGGGCCGGAGGAGGGAGAGGAGGACGAAGAAAACGACGACAAGGAGGGAGGAGGAGGGGGAGGCGGAGGAGGAGGTGGGGGGGAGGAGTTTTGTTCCCGCGAGGCTTCAACTGCGACGGGCACAATGGCTACCTGGGAGAGAGCCCAGGCAGCCGAGAGGGTACATTGTGCCAAACTCACATGCCAGACCGCAGCGACGAAGACTGGCATCGAACGACCTCCGAGGCCGTGCCAGAGGTGGGGTGCAGGAGGCCGAGCGTCCTCAAGGAAACTCCACCCACACTCATTGGCGAGCACCGCGCTGTGCGGGAGGCCAACTGCGAGACGTGCAGCGCAGGCGAAATCCGCCACCTCGGAGTCCAGGGGCACCCATCCGCGTAACCCTCCTCGCTTGTGGTGGACGAGGAAAATGAAGGTTATCAGAGATACCGACATACCGAAGCCGAGGAAGGGAGCAAGGACAGAGAGCCAACAACTGGAGCATCGATGGCGGCATTGACGTGCCAGCAGCCAGGGCCGCCTGGGAACGGAGTCCAAGGCACCTTGCGCAGTGGGCGGGGGAGGAAGGAGGAGGAAGAGGAGGAGGAGGAGGAGGAGGAGGAAAAGGAGGAGGAGGAAAAGGAGGAGGAGGGTAAGGACGAGGAGGACCAGAGTCCATCCAAGATGTAACAACGATGCTGCAATACACCGTCCCGTCCCAAATCCTTTCCTGATAACCGTCGGACCCAAGCCAGAACAGCACCCTCCAAGAACTCGAGACCCTCCGCCGGCCAACACACACACAGAACATCCCAGGGTGCCCTCCCCAGGATGGACACGAACATCCAGCAGACACGAAGAGCACTAAGGTCCCCTCCTCGAGTCGACCTCGATCTTATACCTCGGTGTGGCTGTAGTCCGTGCCCACATTCTTCTTCATTGCGGGGAACGCCCCCGCCTCGAGAGACGAGTGCTCCGTGGGCAGGCAATCCAGCCGGGGGCTCCACGTCGAAGCAACCGCCCTTTCATCCTTCGAGCTGATTTATGCAGAGTGCGACGTGGAAGGTGAAACTTTTAGGACATGCCCAACGGCAACCTCTCTTTGAAGAGGGGGCGCACTGTATCCGTGTAGAAGTTGCGCAAGTCGATCACGTGGCCAACATGTTTCACGAGTCTCGAACAGACTCCCCATGTTGACAAGGGAGCCCCCCCCCATCCGTGTTACACCTGTGGTGAGGCAGCGGCTTCCTGCTCCTGCGCTCCTCCTGCGCCCCCTTCTCTGCCCATTTCCCCCGTCGCGCGAGGGAAGCCCAAACCTCCAACAATGCCTTGAACACATCAGTGCGGATTCGTTTCGGCAATTTTCGGCGTCGTCCGTGAGCCGTTCTCGCGCCGCTGGACAGCCTAACCACGATCTGGGGTAAGCAACTGGCCCCGGGGAAGGGGTCGGGACTTCCAGGGACCGCGTGTGGTCATCTTGCGACCCTAAGAAACGCGTGAGAAGGAACGACAGGGATTTTCTGGCCACGGCAGGCCTGGGCCACAAACGGGTGCCAGTACATAAATCTAAGGGTCGGCTGGAAAACCGCAGCCCCTCCTCAGCCCGAAGCGGTCCTTAGCTCAACGTCTTGACTGCCTCGGAAAAAACAGCACTACATCGGAAATCCTGGGAGCGGTGATTTGAGGGAAGCGGGTCCTGGACCCTGGGGCTTCCAGGAGGGACCAGCTTCTCACTCCCAGGGTCGGCTTCTGACGGTAGCGGGGTCCAGGATAGGCCCCGGGAGGCAGAAGGCGGCAAGGAAAACCTGACCCGCTCCCGCAAGTGGAGGAAGAAACAACAAGATAAACACAAACTTCTGGCGTTCTGCGAGGACTTCTTGGATCTGCGCTGGACCCCCCCGGCGGCGACTCCGGCGCTGCCCCTGGCGCGCTCTGCGCGCCAAGGAGGGGGTCCAACGTAAATCGAAGACATCTGCCCGGACCGTCAAAAGTTTATGTTTATGCCGTTTTCTTCTTCGATCACGACACCTGTTCTTCATGGTACGCATTCTCCCCTCAGAACCCTCAGACCCAGACGATACATGTGCGTGTTCTGACCAGAATTTCGATGGGGATGCAGCCGTGGCGACGAGAAGCCTCTCAGGGGCACAACAATCATGCCAACAAGTAGCGACATCCCAGGCCTCGATTTCTTCATAGTGACCTGTGCTGCTGGACATCGTGTGGCGCATGCTGGAGATCGTGTCGCGCATCTGCGCGATCTCGGCGCCCTCCTCAGAGAGAGAGCCGGTAAGAAGACTTGCGGCATAGCGGCGAGAGCTACTCAGGAGGACGAGAAGGAATGGAGAGAGAGGAGGAGAAGGAGGAGGTGGAGGAGGAGGAGGAGGAGGAGGAGGACAAATGTAAACCCAAGACTCACCAACGATATTGCAATGCATCCTCCCCTCAAATTCCCTCTTCATAGGGCCATGCACGGATTCATCGTCACTGAGGGAAGTGCCCCGTTGGAAAACAACCGTTTGAACATTCGGAATTGTGCTAGAACGCCATTCCTGGGACATCAACGCCGCGAATCACCGTCATGTTTGCGCCTTGATGATCCCGAATCGTGCCAGAACGCCGTTCTTGGGACTTCAACACAACAAAACAATGTTACTCTTGCACCCTGGCATTTCCGACATCATGCCAGAACACCACTTCTGACAGTAACCATGAGAGTCCTTGAACTTGCTGCAAAGTCTTGAGGCAAACGTCCGCGGAACTAGAGCTATAAACACATGTTGAAAAGGAGCCGCCCTCCATCCGTGAAGCTGTTGCAACTTTTAAGACGAATGTGTGCGACGCTGCGGCGAGAGCCGCATGCTGAGAACGGGCCACCCTCCATCCGCGAAGCTCTTGCAAACTGTTGACACGAATGTGCGCGGCGCCAAGGACGAGAACTACATTTTGACAACGGGCCACTCTCTATCCGTAGAGCTCTTTCAAATTCTAATGCTCAAGAGCCGAATAATACAGAAATGGCGGGCGGAACGCCCGGCCCGCCCTTTCGACTGGCCTCGGGGTGCAACAGGGAGGAGTTACCTATAGGGAGCAGGAGCAGAAGCAGGAGGAGGAGGACGAGGAGGAGGAGGAGAAGGAGGAGGAGGAAGACGAGGGGGATGAGAAGGAGGAGGAGGAGGAGGAGGAAGAGGAGGAGGAGGTGGACCAATGTAAGCCCAAGTCTCATCGACGATATTGCAATACACCCTCCCTCTATGTTCCCTCTTCATAGTTCTCTGCACGGATTCATCGTCACTGAGGGAAGTGCCCCGTTGGAAAACAACTGTTTGAACATTCGGAATTGTGCTAGAACGCCATTCCTGGTACATCAACGCCGCGAATCACCGTTATGTTGGCGCCTTGATGATCACGAATCGTGCCATAACGCCGTTCTTGGGACTTCAACACAGCAAAACAATGTGACTGTTGATCCCTGGCATTTCCGACATCATGCCAGAACACCACTTCTGACGTTAACCATGAGAGTCCTTGAACTTGTTGCAAAGTCTTAAGACGACTGTGCGCGGAGCTAGAACTATAACCACATTTTGAAAAAAGAGCCGCCCTCCATCCGTGAAGCTCTTGCAAACGAATGTGCGCGACGCTGAGGCGAGAGCCTCATCTTGAAAACGGGCCGCCCTCCATGCGCGAAGCTCTTGCAATCTTTGAAACGAATGTGCGCGGCGCCAAGACAAGAACTACATCTTGAAAACGGGCCGACCTCCATCCGAAAATCTCTTTCAAACTTTAACGCTCAATGTCAGAATGGTGCAGAAATATCGGGCCAAACGCCCGGCCCGCCCTTTCGACTGGCCTCAGGGTGCGACAAGGAGGAGTTACCTATAGGGAGCAGGAGCAGGAGCAGGAGGAGGAGGACGAGGAGGAGGAGGAGGAGGGGGGGGAGAAGGAGGAGGAGGACCAATGTAAACCCAAGACTCATCAACGATATTGTAAATACACCCTCCCTCCATGTTCCCTCTTCATCGGCCCCTGCACGGATTCCTCGTTACTGAGGAGCTACCTATAAGAAGCAAGAGCAGAAGCAGGAGGAGGAGGAGGAGAACGAGGAGGAGGAGGAGGACCAGTAGCAGGTAAGACGAGGGAGGAGTGAGAGGAGGAGCCCGCGCATCAACAGGGCCCACGGCTTACCTGGGATCCCGAGCGCAACCGACCATGCCAAGGCAGTCTACATAAAGGCTGGACCCTGGGAAGAGCACGACGTTGAGCGAAGGCTGGAAGACTGCATAGTCCTCGCGTCCCTCGTTGCCTGGAGAGGCGCCTCAGCGAAGTGTACTCCCCCCGGTCCCTGGCGACAAAGCTCATCTCGCCACTCCCAGAATGATGAGCCGACCCTCAAAGGCAGATCCATCCGTGCACGCATCCCTTCGCCAATCTTGATGCATTCCGCAGCCCAGTTAAAGCTATGCGCAATGCGTATAGAGGGACGTGAGGTCAGGCGCCTTGTGCCTGAACCAGGCCGAGGGTTCGGGGAAAATGGCCCTGGAGAAGAGCTCCTGGGCCCGACCCGAGAGCCTGGACGCGAGCCTGGCAGCCTCCCGAACCTCGCGCGAGAGCTCCTTGCGTCTCCACGCGTCCGGTCACGGCGCGCTCCGAGAGATTCTACTCGTAACGGCGCGGCGGCACCGTCGCCCCCAATGTGAATATCTGAATTTGCTTCACGAAGGGGCGTGGATGATTCACGTTCCATTACATCGAGGCAAGCATTTGTTTTTTTGGGCGTTTGCGAATCGGCACTTTGCGAGTCGTGGAACGCGCTCGGTGATGAGCGGGGCAGCCGAACCGGCAATGAAACAGGGTCCCGAACCGCCAATCGAAGCAATCAGGGCGGATGTCTCCACGCTTCTCGGCAACTCCTTGCTGGTGACGGGCCGTCGGGCCCTCGTGAGGCACCTCGGCCGTGATGGGGGTCCTGGGCAGGGTGGGAGCAGATCGGGCCAGTCCATTCACCAACGAACGACGACTGACGACTCTGCCCCTCGGTCACAGCCGCATTCCAGCACGCCTATGAAGCCTCCTAGATGGAGTCCGAGTAGGTGGGGTCGAAGGATCGCGCCGCATCGCCAGTGCATCGCCGATGTATCGGCGATGCATCGGCGATGCATCGGCGACGTCGGCGTAGGGAAACACGGGCTCCACATCGAGCCGCATCGTCGCTGCAGCGGCTATGCGGCGCGATCCTCCGACCCCATCTACTCGGACCCCATCTAGGAGGTCTAGAACGCCTGCCGACAAAGAACAGCGAAGAATGCGGGTGATAACCGAGGCAGAGCCCAAACAACCCCCGCGGTGAGGCTGTCCCTATCCGCGTGGAGGCCCCCGCCGATCCCACCGAGGGTCAGGAATAAGGCGGACATTGGCTTCGCGAACATTCACGAGTACGGACGCAATCGTAGGCCCGGTGACCGAACGGTGCCACCAGACCGAGACGAAGATTTTCAAGCGAACAAAGAGTGACGTCCACAGGCTCATTTCTGGCCCCTTTGGACACTGCCGCAACCGCCGCGGCCCTGGACCTCGCAAAGGCCAGCTGAAGGCCCTCGTCGGACTCGGGGACCGAAGCTCCGCCCTCTTCGAGCCGCTTCCACATCTTAGGGGGATGCCAAAGGTACCCCTGGCCCAAGGTGCCCCCAGCTTTACGCTCAACTTTGGAGCCCCTTCGGCCCGGGGGCGCGATGCTGGGCTCCAGCTGCACCATCCGCTGGGCCGTGCACGGGGCAGCTGTTGCGCCAGGCTCTGACAAAGGAGGCGTCGGGCAAGAGGCTTCCACGGCAGCGGGCTGCGGCGACGCGGCCACCAGCAGCGCATGCTGACGCTGGAGATCCGCCAGCTCGGCCTCCTGCTGCACGGTGGGCTGCAGCAGCGATTGCTGCCGCAAACTGCGGCCAAACTCTCACACGAAGCACCCGAGAAGCTCCTGGCGGCAGCCGGCTCCTTCTGTACCTCGGCATGGTGGGCCCGAGTACAGTAGGAGCTCGACCACAGGAAACCTTCCACAGCAAACCCAACCCTGAGACCACATGACGTCCATTGATCTCTGGTGTGGGAGCGCCACGCTTCCTATAGCACAGCCATCGACACCCAAGAAACCAAGGGCACCCTGGAGGCAAGCAGGGTGCTTCTTGGCATGGGTTTCCTCTGTAACCCGGAGGTCGGGCCACTCCTCGCCGTGCGCGTCGATGATGACGGGGTCGGGCGGCTTGCGGGCCTGCTCGATCTACTCCTGCAGCTGCTTGATCTGGGCCACGAGCTTCTACACCTCGGCCGACGAGCCCCGGGGGGCCCACGACGGCCATGCCTTGCCCTGACCAGTTCGCTGGCGCGTGGACGTCGACGGCTCCTCGAGCGCCGCGTAGCCGTTGGAGCATGGTCCTTCGCCATCTTGCACTGGTGGCAATTTCTGTCCTCGGCGAAATTGAGGAGTGCTTCCCACTGCTCGGCGGCGAGCAAGGGGGGAAGTGAGAGGGAGAAGGCCTTCTGAGAAGGTTCGGAAGTCCCCCCAGCCTTCTGAGAAGTTTTCTAAGCCTTCCCCGAAGACCAAAACAACTGGTAAAGACTGGAGGCATTCTGAGAAGGCCTTCTCCTTCTCATTTTCCCCCTCGCTCGCCGCCGAACTGCGCTCGAGCACGCAATGCCTGCAGAACCACTCTGCCAAACCACTTGCGCCGGTGCACGGGCGGGGGCGGCGTCATCTCTCCAGGGCAGGGTCGCCTCGACCATCAGCTCCGCCAGGAGGTCACCAACCAAACACTCTGGTGCCGAGTATGCTTCTGCAGGAGCTCGCCAGCACTGCGCGCTGGCACAGAGGTCCAGACCTGGGGCGGACCACTCCAAAGTGATAAGACTGGCAGGCTGCGGACTAGCGGTGTCCCTGATGCGTGGAGGCTGACCAGCCCCTCGAAAAATCATCTTGCACCAAAGTGGCTACGGAGGAGGAGGAGGAGGAGGAAGAGGGTGATGGGGAGGCGGAGGAGGAAGAGGAAGAGGAGGAAGAGGAGGAAGTAGAGGAAGAAGAGGAGGAGGAGGAGGAGGAAGAGAAGGAGGAGGAGGATGAGGAGGAGGAGGAGGATGAGGAGGATGAGGAGGAGGTAGGGGAGGGAGGGAGGGAGGGAGGGAGGGAGGGAGGAGGAGGGAGAGGAGGATGAGGAGGATGAGGAGGAGGAGGACATGGAGGACGACGACGATTTTGTCCCCCTCCTCAGAGGGTGCTGCCACGACGCCCTGTGGTGGTGCGGGCCCGGCGCTGGCCTGGCCAGCGAGCATCTCTTCGTTGAGGGCCTTGTTGCGCAGCTCGATCTGCTGGACACGCAGCTGGGCCTCGCTCTGCGAACGATGGGCCTCCTGCCTTCTGCCTTCTGCCTCCTCCTCCTCCTCCTCTTCATTCTCCTCATCCTCCTGCCCCTCCTCCTCCTCCTCCTCCTCCTCCTGCTCCTTCTCTTCCTTCTCCTCCTCCTCGTCCTCCTCCTCGTCCTCCTCCTTCTCGTCCGCCCCTCCTTTCCCTCCTATGCTGCAGCGGGAAGATATCAAGAATCCCACCAACACGCTTGAAGCTAACTCCCCTACCTCCCCCTCCTCCTCCTCCTCCTCCTCCTCCTCCTCCTCCTCTTCTTCCTCCTCAGACAACCAATGTATACCAATACGGCACAAAGGGTTACGTGTACATCAGTTACAAAGTAGACAGCGGGACATGGTATACACAGGTTGACACATGTACTTACACGTTCTAATCAATGTATCAGTCGTCGTGCTGTACATGCCACTAAACGTATCACACAACATCACCCACAAACGAGACATCGCCGTGGCTTCTGCAGGGAAGCGTGGTCGAAAGGGACCTAACACGGTAAATGAGGTCATCCCACTGTCGTATCCCATCGGATTCCCGCTTTGCGAAGATGTCCGTCGCTTTTTGGATCATTTTTTTTGTCATTTGCAAGCTCATCATCCGGAGGATCTTTGGTTCGGCTTCGAATGTCCTGAATAACATGGCGGACGTGTGGAAACTTTTCCTCAGGACACGGAGCCGTGGTCCAAGAAGAGAGCGGGTGGAGGAGACGACGAGCCAGCTTTGATCCTGGAGCTCATTGCAGTCATCACGAAGCTAGGCTTGAACAGCGCGCAGGAGATGAGGACCGTCATCATCTTCGTGTGCTTCTTGTGTGATGTCACCATTGATATTGCGCAGGCTGCGGCAACCCAGACCACGAAGCATGCAGACCGCACCAGGGGAAGGTCAGGGCAAGGCGAATGCGGTCCTGATCCGCCGTGTTTCGTCGCCATGCTGGCGGTCTTGCTCGGGCACGCGGCCTGCCTGGAACCGTGCAAGAAAAACCCTTCTTTGAGTTCCTCGAGCAATTTCCGCCGCCGTCAGAGCCGGGTCCGTCCGCAGAAGCGACGCAGGCCGTGGTTCCTTGCTGCCGGTTGAACAAGGCGTATGAAGACACGGTGAACAGTTGTACTTCCGTTTGAGCGACCCAGGACACGACGAAATGGAAGCTCACGTCTGCGCCGCGATCGCTGCCATCTACACGAAGAAGCAGGCCGAACGCATGTACGGCCAGGCACCCAAGGGCTCTCTTGAGAAGAGGGCGCAGGAACTCCCGACCCAGCTCGGAATAGACAAGCAGTGATTCCGGCAGCGTCTGCCATCCCAGGCTTGAAAGAATCATGTGTTTTTCCAAGTTGCCACGCCCCCCTCCGCTGCTTGCCTGCTTTCTCTTCCTTTTCCTCGCCTCTTTCGCGATTTCTGCTGTTGCGCTCTCCTCTTCTCCTGGCTCCGCGGCCTCTCTCGCTCCTCTCGCCCGTCGTTCCCCCTCCTGCTGTCGTCCCCCTTTCGTCCTCGTCGTTGCTGGGGCGTGGGAAAAAAACATTGCTTTAAACACGTATCTTCCGTATGTACACGCACACGTGTCATTCCATGTATCGCTCCAGAGTGAGCGGCCAGCCCGCCCCGCATGGCGGCCTCCGGCGAGTCTGCCGCAGCAGCGCAGGCGCAGTCGGCAGCTGGCCGGGCCCTCTCTCTCCCCATCTTCCCTTTTCGCTCCCCCTCCCTCCCCCGCGCCCGCGCTTTCTGCGCACGGCGAGGGGGCGGGCGGGCCTCTTCTTAGAAGCTTCGATGGGCTTGCGCCACATCCGCCGGCCCCTGTGTGAACTGCTGCGCCTCCAGGGCTGCCTTTCGCGAGGCTTGTCCGACTCCTTCCTGTTGCTCGTTGCTCGATAGGCGCGGGTACTCGCACGCTCCGATCCCTCCCCCTCCCTCTCCCCCAGCAGGCTGCGAGGTGTCCATCACAGTGTGGTTATATGCAATAGCCAGGTCTGCTTGATATTCTCGCCGCGCACAGAGGATCACTCCACGCAGAGGAGCCTCCTCCTCCTCCTCCTCCTCCTCCTCCTCCTCCGCCTCCTCCTCCTCTCCCTCCTCCTCCTCCTCCTCCTCCGCCTCCTCCGCCTCCTCCTCCTCCCCCTCCCCCCCCTCCTCCCCCCCCCCCCTTCCCTCCATCTCCCTCCCATACTTGTGCTAAGCAGCCCAGCAACTCCTCCTGCCCCAGCTGGTGCTGCGAGCGAGGAGGGGGAGAGAAACAGAGAGAGAGGGAGAGATCCAATCATCCGAGGAGGTGCTACTTCTCAGTGCACGGCCCCACATGTCCCGACCCCTTCACCGAGCCAATTTTTCGCCCTGGGATTGTTCCCTCATGGCGTTTCGCTAGATTCTAACAGCAGCTGAACAAAAAACAAGTAAGAGCCCCCCAAAGGGGGGCGGGGAACCTGAGACCGCCCGCTCTGGAGCCGGTCTGGCAGCCGTTTCGCCTGAATAATCTCCACATCTCATTCAGGAAGCGTGCTCTCGCCTCAATGTCGGCCACGCTCTTGGTCTGGACGGCAACGGTCCCTAGTAAAAAGCACCATGGTCAGGCTCTCACTCCTGTCCCGGCTGCATATTTTCCTGTCTCACTCCTGTCCAGGCTACTATCTTAAGTGCTTTGCTGAGGCAATTGCTGCTCCCGGGGCCCGGTAACACGCCCCAGAGGTCCACATCGAGGGAAAACCGCCAGTTGAAAAAATCACGAGGTGGCCACATTCAAACCCTACCTCAACCAACCATCGATTCTCCTGAATCGGCGGGGGGCCGGGGCAGGATTCGGATTTCGCCAAGCGCTCGACGAAATCCGAACCCTACCCCCGCCGCCCATCGAGTTGTCCGAATCGTTGATCGGCGAGGCCGGGGCTCGGAGTTCGCCGCCGAATCTTATCGCTGGAGATCTGGGTGGGGGTGCCGGCGAGCGTCGGCCTCGGCCACTCGGGCCGCCTCGAGCTCGGCGCGCCTGCTCGCCGACTGCGCCTCCGCCCGCAGCTGGTCCGCCTGCACCAGCAGCTCGGCCAACCGCTCCTCGTCGTCCCGCGACTTCTGCCTGGGGGGGGTCCGCTCCCGGCTCTGGCCTCGCTCTGCCTGTCTCTCTTCCTGCTGCGCCCGCCTGGGTCTCACTTGCGGGCCGCAGCGCCTGGTTCGCTTTCGTTCTCTGCACCTTGCCGCTTCCGCAGCGGAGTGGGCCACTCCGACAGCCATTCCAGGCACGCCTTCTCGAGACCTTGTGCCTGCCGCTATTAGAAACTCCAGGGCGCCCTGGAGTCCCGGTAAGGCTACAGGGCAGGATCCACTAGGGATCCCCAGAGCTCCAAAGAGCACTGCAGATTCTGACCCACCAGGCGCTTCAGGCAGTGGTCTAATGTGACATCTGTGGAGTTGTTGGGGAAATGAATTCTCTCAAGATCATGGATGACGACGCTTATGCGATCACGGCCTCCACGCTGCAGAACAAGAGGGAAGAGGCCGAGGCGGAGAAGTGGTGACGGCGGGCGCATGCGGCAATCGACCTCCCGCCGCGCCCCAGCCCCGCTGCACTGTTCGGGGGCCCTCTCCCGCCTCAGCTGCTGGAGCTCTTCCTCCAACCGCACTATCTCCTGGTCGTGCCCCGCGAGCTCGCGGATCACCTGCCCAGAGGGAGGAGGTAGCAGAGGAGGCGAAGGAGGATGAAGAGGAGGAGGAGGCGGAGGAGGAGGTTGCGGAGACGGAGGAGGAGGAGGAGGAGAAGGAGGAAGAGGAGGAGGAGGCGGAGGAGGAGGCGGATGAGGAGGAGGAGGAACAGGAGGAGGAGGAGGAGGAGGAAGAGGAAGAGAACGAGGAGGAGCAGGAAGCGGAGGAGGAAGAGGAGGAGGAAGAGGAGGAGCACGAGGAGGAGGATGATGAGGAGAACGTGGAGGAGGTGGAGGAGGAGGAGGCTGATGAGGAGGAGAAGGAGGAGGAGGAGGAGGAGGAGGAGGAGGAGGAGGAGGAAGGGAAGGAGGAGGCTGATGATGATGATGAGGAGGAGGAGCATGAACATGATCATGATCATCTGACATAATCACATGTGCCACATAACTAACACATGCAACTCATGCGCCTTAAACGCGCGTCTTGGGACGTCTGGATGCTTGCTCTGCTTGGCTGAGGACCTTAGGCCACACCCTCGAGAGATGCGGTCTAAGTATTCACACCCCAACCCTACGGAAGAGTGGGCTCATCGTGTCTTCGCCGCCGCTGGCGTCGCCGAGCACCAACAAGGACCTCGAGGGTGTGCCGCCCCCAAGACATCCAGCCGTGATGTCGTCGTTCATGGTCGTGGTCCAATGATCGTCCAGCGGCGGCTCTCGCACCGCGGTCCATGAGGAGGGTAGCATCCCACATAACCAGAAGGCCTCCTCGGCGTTGGCCTGGACCAGCGCCTGGGAGACGAGCTCACCCGAGTCGCTGTAGGCGGGGCTGTCGACGTTGCACTCGCACTCCCAAATCCTGTGCTTCAGCGTCTCCGGCTCTTTGCCACAGCGCGCGCACAAGACTGGGCCCTGGTACTTCAACATCTTATCTCGGCGTCGGGCTCGTGGCCAGACACCACCAGTAGCACGCGCCAACATAACTTCTCCCACCGGGTGTCTACAACAGGCGTTGCTGATAGTTGTTGGAGCAAGACCTTGTACGACGAACAGTCTGCCCCTTGCTGAGGGCCTCCACCTGCATAGTGGCGACTCGCAGACACCCATAGGCGGTGCCCCAGGGTGTCGTCTGCAAAATCCTTGAGGAAGCCGTCGCGCGTGTTCAGCGCTGTGGTGCCTGTGTGCATGGAGTCATCGAAGCGTCACTGGTCACCTGCATATGGGTGAGGCTCTGGGATGGCCCACCCCGTCGCCTCCGCCGCTGACCACCCAGCCTCGAGGAGGTGCAAGACAACCGCAGAGATTGGCCCGCGCACATGGCGGGACCGTTGTGCAGCAGGGACATGTTCCAAGTGCCGCACAACCGACATCCACGCTCGCTGAATGCCGCCACGGAGGCTGGGTTGGTCACGCCACGACCTCAAACAGAGGTCCAAGCATTCCACTGGTAACTTGATTGCGGGGTCGTGGTCACCAGCGCGCAAGGCCAAGCGGGAGGTGAGGCACCTCCCCTTGGTGGCCGCTGCGCAAGCCAGTCCCAGTCGCCGTCGGACCTGCTGCATGTGGGACCCAAAGGTCCCAAACATTTGATGTCCATATACGCCAGCTGCTTGGGATCCTTGTTTCTCCAACCGACGTGTGATGGAACGCCGCTTGGCTGCGAGCGCAAACCGACGAATCTTGTCACTCATGGTCTTGGTCTTGTCGTCTCGCTTAGTCCTTGTCGGTCGAGCCAGGCGAGCACCGCGAGACAAATCGATGCACAAAAATCCAGACTGCAACTTGGGAGTAACCGTGACACCTGCTCTACGCACTGCTCTGGAGATCCACTGTGCATCCTGCACCTTGGTGCAGACAATCACGGATTTCGGAGACACTTGCAACCGTTGCTCCTGAAGGGCACGGCACCTTGCTATAAGGCATGCAGACATCTGACTGCGGAGTGCCTTCCTGGAGCCTCTGAGGAATTCAGAACAACCATCTAGCCATGTGCGATGGCTGACTCGTGCGTGAGCGACAATGATCTTGGATATGACATGGTGCGTCAGGCGACGGCCGAAGCGAGCCCCATAACGTAATCCCTGGACAAGCTCCGAGCAGGCTGAAATGGCTGCGACGTCGCTCCTAGCTGCCCTAGTGTCCTCATGGCCGCGCACATCAAACGCTCCATGTGGAGCACTCGTGCTGGGAAGGGGGGATTAAGTGCACAACTCGCCAGAGCAGGCCGCTTTATGGAATCATAGAAAGACTGGTTCTCTAACAAACCATCAGCACGCGGAATCTTGAGATGCTGGGAAGTCTCCTCTTGAACTGTTCTGACAAATGCCTCCCTGAGACTCGTATTCCCTCGGATCGCCGCGTCCCAATGCTGTTCTGTTTCAGCTGGCCAAATACGTATGAGAGGCTCCCGTACCAAACTCCAGACTTGGCCAACCATCCAAACGAGGCCGATGATCCTGTCGCCCGTGATCTTCTTCGGCAACATCCGTCCGGTGATGAATAATATTTGACCTAGCCAGCAGCCGCAGTGCTCGCATGCTCCCAGAAGAAGAGCAAATTCAGCAAGAACCACGTCTGGCAATCGTTCGAAACCCGTGGGCGTCAGAACGTCGGCGCCCAGGCCTGCCTTGGGCCTCATCTGTTTCAGAGCGCGTCTGGGATCATCCGCTGTGATGGGCGGCGGCGGCTCGTCCACCGCGACCTCCCTGATATAATGGAATGCATTGAACATCTCACCTTCGCCGAGGCTGGCTGGTGACCACAAACTGTGTCAATGCTAGGTTTTGGCGTCGATGAGATCCCTTGGGGGTGGTGTGAGACATGTCCTCCGCAGTCCATGTCAAGGCTGAGAAGCGCTCGGCCGTGAAAGGACTCGTCAAGCACGCCTGTGGACCCGGACTGGGCGAAGAAATCCTTGAACTCCGAGATGGTTTCCTGCGCGGCTCGCCTCTGGGCCCGCATCATGAGTCTTTGAGAAATATCAACAGAACTCTGCGCGACCGGGAGTGACGGCGACCCTGCGTTCCTGAAGACGGGGAGCCACTCACGCCATGCAGGGTCTCTGTTCGGGATAAGAACTTTCTCCGAGCCTTCTGGTCGAATATCGAGGTGCCGATGACATGCTTGAAGATGCCTGTCACCTGCTGGGCGCCGTTGTTCTTGGTACGATGGAGTGCGATAGCATTTAAGAGAGTGTGTAGTTGGGTCCACCATGCACCTACTTGGTCGCGTAGCGGGGTGGCCCCACTCCCGCTTGGCATTTTGACCGTCTTGACAACAGACCGACATCCCTGAGCTCGTCGAGGCCCTGAGGACCTAGCCACATTATGATGTTGAAAGATACTGCGTTCGACAGATGACACCCGTGCTGCGTGCAACCAAGGCGCTTCATTGAACCCAGCTGTTTTGAGCCGAGTGCCTACAGACTGATGTAGAGCAGGTGCAAGGGATTTCAGGGCGAAGTTGCCTGAAGCGAAACCTTAAGCTCGCCGACATTCTCCCCGCCATTCCGAGGGGGCGCCGAAGGTCGGTTCGGGGTTGACAGGGGCTCCACCACCAGGCGTGGGCAGCGCGGACGGACCCTTGGAATCCAGGGATGGCGGCTCGGGCTGACCAATCGTAGAACAAGCGGGGGCCACCGACGACGGCGAAGGCTCCGACGTCGCTCGAGCGGTCGCGGGGGCTACCCCCCGCGAGATCTTAACATCGATCGTCCTGGCGCCACCGGCCGCGACAGGGCCCCCAGGACCGCCGGAGAGAGCATGGGCCAACGGTGAGTCCGAACTGAAGTTGGGCTCGTGGGCCCATGGGTCTTCCTCGTCGGGCCATTCGTCCAGATCTAGTTCGCGAGTTACACTGCTGGGCGCCCGCTCCTCCTCGGCCCGGGAGGGGCCCCCCCCATCCTACAGGTCCGCTGAGGTCGCCCGCTGAGACTGCTCACGACATTCTCCGAAAAGGGAATGAAACGTGACGGCAACCTGGCGCCGCGAACTCCTGCGAGCTTTGGCCTGGCTGGACTTGGAGTCTGAGGCGGGCTCCACCGTGGGCCTGGGAACCCGAGGGGGCCCCCCAGGCAACTCTAAAACACGAGTGAGAAGTTGGCCCCCAGAGCTCCTAAGAACTATGTCGAGACCTATGTGGGGCTTCTACGGAACATTCAAGACGGGATTCGCACTGACGATGAAAAGGGAGGGCAGCTCGACTGCGCGTGGCGCAATCGATGTGAGCGCCTGCTCCGAGGTTATATGTTGCTTTGATCTCAGCGGAAGCGATCGCTGCTGACAGGCGCTCGACCATGCCAGAACGTGCAAGGGCCGCTGGGCTCAGATTAAAGTCGCCCGCGACCACCCACGGGAGCTGCAGCGCCCGCAGCAGGCCGGGAAGGCGATTGAACCGTCCGAGGTTGGCCCCGTAGAGGTCCATGTTGCTGTAGCCGTAGAACACTACCAGCGCCAGCGAGCACCCGTTGATTTGGATCACCGTGGCCATGACTCCGTCGTGGGACTTAGCATGGCCTGGTGCAGCTAATTTGCCTCGTGATGACTCGACGACTCCGAGACGATGAGATTGGAGATGCCCTCGCGAAAGTAGCCACTCACCTCCCCCGTGGGCGTGTTCAGCCTGCTGGGCTGCAACCTTCCGAGAGGCAGGGCGAGCGGCGTTGGCAAAACAACCGAAGACCTGGCGAGCGAGCCTTCTTGTCGCGCGAGCGCAGCGTGGACTCTGCGTGGACGTGAGTCTCTGCAAGCGCAAAGTAATCGTATACCTGAGTCTGCGAGGTGACCCAAGACCAGGACTTGCCCACCGTGCATGTGACGCTCGGATAGCAGAGTCGCGTAATTGCACTCTTCCCCACGACCTCCTCGGAGGCGTCTACCTGGGCGGCGCAGGATTGGCCAACACCCCCCTGCTTGGCATCCTGCGCCGCCGTGGCGAACCAAGATCCCGCCTTGGGGGCCTGATTGCCAGCTGGCTCAGCACCCTTCCCTTTGCCTGCCTTCGCGGCCGTCGCGGTCTTTGTGCCAGGAGCTTGGCCTCAGACAGGCGCTTCGCCTCTGCTGTGACCTCCGCCTCCACCTGCGCCGTCGCAACCGCTGCAGCCATGGCCGGCTCAGGCTCGCCGTCGGCCGTGACGGGGGCGGCGCCCTCGGCGCTCGACCCGCCGCCGTCGCCCGCGCCTCCAGGGGTGACGGCGGGAGCGGAGTCGGCCTGGCCAACGGCTGCAAGCTTGCGCTTCTTGGCGAGGCGCTCCGTGACCAAGCGCTTATGCTCTTCCATGCGGTTCAGCCAGTCCCGCGCCTCCGTTCCATTGGACGACATCTCCTTCTCCGTCGCGAGGAGTCGCTGGTGGATCACGTGAAGACCCTTGCTCTTTTCCTTCTCGCATTCCAGCTCATCGAACATGCTGAAAAAGCCGTGGTCCCATGTGACTTTGAAGATGCGCCGCTCGTTGTCGGCTGCGTTGGAACCCTCTGCCACTGAACCTCCAACTCCTTCAGCATGGGCGACCGCCTCAATGGCCGCCTTCTTGGCGAGGGCTGCTCGTGCCAGCGCATTCGCCGCGTCGATCTCCTTCGCCTCCGCCTGCTCCAGCGATTGGCGAAGGCACAGTACATTGGATACTGCTTGGTTGAGCTTATGATCAGCATCTCGAAAGACTCCATCAGCGCGGCGCAACTGCTCTGTGACCGAGGTCTCCTGCTGCTTGGCGCCCTCGATCTCTTGCTTGAGCTTCTCGACCTGAAGCTGCAGAGCTGAGTTCAACTCGGTGTTCTTGGGGGCCGCCATCGCACGCTGCATGAGCGAAGTCGCCCCAGTGTCGGTTCATCCTCCTCGCCCTGCACCTCGCGCCACGGCGGCGTTCTGGGGCCACGACCGCCGCGCGCGCCTCTGCCGGCCCCAGGGCCTTTGGCTGGCGAAGCACTGCGCGTGCGTCGGAGGATACCGCTTGGATGCGCCAGCTGGACCTCATTGTGCTCATCCTGAAACTGAACTCTGGGTCCTCGTGTCGTCTTCGGCTTGAAGGGTTGCAGCTTCTCTCCACAACCTGCGCACACAAATATTACTTGCCAAACGGTCGTTGTACTCACACTGCTGGCACGCGGGGCAGCGGGTCCACAACTTGTCGCCTGGCGCCGTGGCTAAATATCACAGTCCCTCAAACGTTTCTGGAAAGCTCAAGGTACTGAGCCCCGCCAAAATTGTTCGGGCCCAAGTGGCTTGAGGGAGGAGGAGGAGGAGGAGAAGGAGGAGGAGGAGGAAAAGGAGCAGGAGGAGGAGGAGGAGGACGAGGAGGAGACGAATAAGCAGAAACAGCAGACGGACGATGAGGTCGAGGAAGAAGAGGGCGATCATGGTTCTGGTGATGAGGAAGAAGTGGGAGGCAGGACGGCAAGGTGGGAGACGCACAAGCAGCGTGGGGAAACAGCATGGGGCGCTGCGAATGCCAAACTCATCTGCGTGCCGATTATGGCCGGGGCTGCGCGCAGTAAAGCCGATCTGTATACTCATATACGTGTATATATAATGTTTTCATCTTCGATATGTCGTTCAGCATCGTTCCGAGGAGGAGCCGAACCATGCGGAACCTGGTGGTGGAATCGGGGGATCGGCACCAAGGGGGCGGGTGCGTGCCCACGCTCGAGATGAGTGGTGCAGCCCGCCTCCTGCTTCTGGGGTATCTATCCCCCGCCCTTCGCGATTGAGGCCGCCAGGCAGCGGCCAGGGCAGTGCGCCCTCGACACACATCTAATTCAACGCCCCCTTCCATAATGTAGGCCGCCCTTCTCGCTAGGCCAATTTGGCAGAGACAACACCAACTCCAGGAGCATGAAGGGCGCTGCGCCTCCGATAACATCAGCATTGGCCACCCCTTCTCCTATGCCTTCCTCCCTTCATTCCTGCACTCCCCTCCAATTCCCTTAACCCCAGAGCTGCGTACACGTCGGTCGGAATAAATCTGTAAACGTTATGAAATAAGAAGATAACGTAGATTGGGCCCAGGACCTTCCAAAGCATAACGAAACACAGCAACAAGATATCGATCCTTGAAGTGGGAAGGCGCTTGAAGTGGATTGAGATCAGGGGGTCCGAAAACACGACCGACGCGTAGGGGCACACCCTCAGCAAGGGGGCCTTGCGCTGCTCGGCGGTGGGTGGGGGAGCGGGTGGCTCACGGGACAGGACGGGGACAGGCCGCAGCCGACCTACGAGTCGTCTGCGCGGCGCCCTCACGAGGGCGCCAGGCCCCGCACAGCCCCAACCATCACTCCACTATTTAGTTCAAGAAGCTTGCCAGATCTCGTGGATGTGAGCGTTTTCTTATTCGGCGTTCCGACACTGGGCGGAGGGGGGAGTCTGGCTCTGGACCTAATTATGCTTAGTGCGACTGTTTGCGCCAGTGTGTCCATTGTGGGGGAGACTGCACCTGCTCGAAACAGGCGACCAAAAACAGCCGAGATCTGCTCCATGGGGGCGGGGAGGGGGGGGGGGTGGCAAGGGCCCGCGTCGATCGGCAAAACAATGAATCAAAAAACAATCACGATCTTCCCCTGGGCGCCTCCTCTTGTCTCGACAGCCGCCCCGACGCCCCAACGCGCCCTCTGGGCTGGCGGTGACCTCCGCCCGGCGCCTGCCCCGCTGGGTCCGCGGCCGCCTCCGCGGAGCGGAGGAGGAGCCAGGACGAGGGCGGAGGGAAGGAACTTTTTCCGTCGGCAGCGAGGCGGGACAATCCGCACCAGCGTGGCAGCGACGCAGGGGCACTACAAAGCGAAGTGGCCGGCATGCCGGAGGGAAACGCGGGAAGGAAGAGGCCTCGTTGGAGGGGACCGTGGCCACCACGGAGAAAGCCGCCCCTGCGCATGGCCAGGGTCGGCCGCGCGCCAGGAGTGGCCGATGCCGGCGCCGCTCGAGCACATGGGGGGCCCAGGGGCGGCCCCTGCAGGGGGCGCCCGCGTCCCAAGGCAGGGGCCCCCTGCCTGTCCTGGGGGAGGGCTTCCGCGAACAGGGTCGCCCCTCGACTCTACGGCTCGGTCCCCAACGCAGGAGTTCCCCCTTCCGCCCTCGCCTCGTCGCCTTCCGGCGTCCCCCGTCGTTCCCCTCGCACCCCATCAACGACTTGATAGTCTAGCGCCCTACCTGTTGGCAGAGCGCCGCCAAGGAGCGGCCAGGCAGCGTCGTACCATTGACACCCATGCCTCCAGTCCGAAGTCCCGAAGAGGAGTGCGCGCATCCGAGTCGGAACGCGCACTTTGCTATGCGGCAGGCGGGACAAGCCACGCCGCGAGCAGGCCGTTCGCGGCCGCTGGAGTCGAAACCGATGATGACGATAATGGTGGTGGTGGTGGCGATGGCGTCGACGAGAACGATAGTGGTGATGGTGGCGTTGATGATGGTGATGTCCGCAACAATGACGATCCTGATTCGGATTATGATTATGATGGTGAGAATGATGATGCTGATGCTGATGCTGCTGATGATGATGCTAATGACGTTGATGACGGTGGTGAAGATGAAACCAGCAATGGTGACGATGATTTTGCTGATGACGAGGATGATGATGACAATGATCACGACGCTGATGGGGCTGATGAGGATAATGATGCCGCTATTGATGATGATGGCGCTGCTGCTGCAGCTGATGCTGATGCTGCTGGTGCTGTTGTTGATGATGGTGGTGATGCTGATGATGACGATGGCGATGCTGGTGATGATGACGATGACGATGACGATGACGATGACGATGACGATGATGATGATGATGATGATGATGATGATGATGATGATGATGATGATGATGATGATGATGATGATGATGACGATGATGATGCTGCTCATGATGATGATGCTGATGATGATGGTGGTGGCGATGGTCATACTGATGATCGTGATGATGTGGAGGGAGAGGAGCAGGAGGAGGAGCAGCAGGAGGAGGAGGAGGAGGAGGAGGAGGAGGAGGAGAAAGAAGAGGAGCAGGATGAGGAGGAGCACAGGTGCGATGAGGGAATAATCCAGCGCCACGCAGCGGAGCAGGCGGGGCTTGCGGGCTCGCAGGCGGAGGGAGAAGGAGGAGCAGGAGGAGGAGAAGGAGGAGGAGGAGGAGGAGGGGGAGGAGGAGGAGGAGAGGAGGATTGGAGGGTTCTGCAATCCTGATCAGCCCAATAATTAGCATCAGGAGGGGAGGATGATGATGAGGAGGAGGAGGAGAAGGAGGAGGAGGAGGAGGAGGAGGGAGGAGGAGGAGGAGGAGGAGGAAGAGCAGGAGGAGGGGGAAGAGGAGGAAAAAGAGGAGGAGGAGGGGAAGGAGGAAGAGGAGGATTCTGCTGCGAGGATTCTGCTATCCTGATCAGCCCAACAATTAGCACCAGGAGGAGGAGGAGGAGGACACATAAGGAGGAGGAGGAGGAGGAGGAGGAGGAGGAGGAGGAGGAGGAGAAAGAGGATGAGGAGGAGAAAGAGGAGGAGAAGAAAGAGGAGGAGGAGTGGGAGGAGGAGGAGGAGAAGGAGGAGGATGAGGAGGAGGAGGAGGAGGAGGAGGAGGAGGAGGAGCAGAAGAAGGAGGAGGAGGAGGAGGAGGAGGAGGAGGAGCTGGCAGCTGGCTTGGGCGAGCCGCCTCGCCTCGGCGAGCTCGGCGCCGTCGGGCCCCCTTGAGAGCAGCTTCCGGAGCCGCACGGTGACCTTGCGGGCGCCACCATCGCGGAGCAGGGCACGCGGCGCGCTCCTCATCCTGCCTCGTCGTCATCGTCGTCGTCGTCCTACTCACACTTTCTCCTCCTCCCCCTCTGCCTCCTCCTCCTCCTCCTCCTCATTCTCCTCCTCGGCCTGCTCTTCCTCCTCCGCCTCCTCCTCCTTCTCCTCCTCGGCCTCCTCCTCCTCCTCCTCCTCCTCATTCTCCTCCCTGGCCTGCTCTTCCTCCTCCTCTTCCTCCTCCTCCTCCTCTTTCTCCTCCTCGGCCTCTTCCTCCCCCTCCCTCCCTACCACCTGCCCTCCCGTATTGTGCTCCTTCTTCTCCTCCTCCTCTCCTTTTGCTTTCTCCTCTTCTTCGCCCCTCCTTCTCCGCCATTCATATACTCCTTCTACTCATCTTGTTCTTCCTACTATATTTCGTCCCTCCTTCCCCTCCTCCTCCTCCTCCTCCTCCTTCTTTCCTCCTCCCCGCGCGTATTCCTCCTATTCCTAATGTTCCTCCTCCTCCTCCTCGTCCCTCCTCCTTCTCCTCCCTCCTCATTCCGTTCCTCCTCCTCCCCCCTCCTCCTCCCTCCTCCTTCTCCTCCTTCTTCTTCTTATCGTCCTCCCCCTCCACCTCCTCTCTCCCTGATCCCTCCTCCCTCATCCGCTTCGTGGCAGCCTCGTGGACGCCGTGCTCACGGAGCAGGGTGCGCACCGCGACCTCCGGGGAGGCCATCTCCTGGACGATCTCGCCGAGCCTCGCGCCACGGCTGGGCTCTTCTTCCCCAGAGATGCTCGCGTCGTGAACAAAAGCACGACGGACATGTTTTCGCAAGTTGGGCGATTTCGGAAACCCTGAACCCAACAACGTTTTCATCTCTTGGTCGCGCATTTTTCACTTCCGCCGCCCTCCGCCGGCTTCCGCCAGCGGAGGCGGCCTCGTTTCACTTCCGCCGACCTTCCGCCGCCTTCCGCGGCGGAAGGGATGACACCTCCTTCTATCCTCCAAGGCAAGGCCCTTTTTGGAGCGCCCCATCTATGGCTCCCGGGGGTCCTTACCAGGCTCGGGACCGACTCAGGATGAAAAACACCGGTTCCTGGAAAGGGGCCCAGACCTCTGTGGTGGGTCCACGCCGTGAACAAAAGATCCTGGTGTCGGGGGTCTGGGTTCTGGAACTTCATTGCCACATGCCACGCCCACACCAAGGCGGAGCCCTCCCCCTCCGCTTTTTGGCCTCAGCAGCGTCCAGGTGGGGCGGTGCTTTGTGGGTGGGGCGGTGTTGGGCGGGTGGGGCAGTTTCCACGATGGGGCCCCGAGGGAACTGGGGAGGGCCCAGGGGACCCTGGTCGGGGGCGTCCAAGAGGAGGGCGTTCAAGTGGGGGGATTCGTAACCCATGGCCCGAGGCACGTGCGCGGCAAAGAGGGGTGGGTGAGGGGTGCAGGGGACGTATCGAAATCAGAGGCGAACAGTCCTCAGAAGGGCCGAAGAGCCGAAAATCATCAAATTCGTATGGGAAAACCTACATTTTCATCATATACGACTTGTCGGCCTTTACGGCGTTGAAGACGGGCCACGAGCACCCCAAGACCGCCCCAAGACGGTCCAACCAAGAGGCCCCCAAGACGGCCCAAGAGGGCCCCAAGAGGGGCCCAAGAGGGGGAGCTTGAACCGACAATCCGAGCCTTCCGCCCCAAGACGGCCCAAACGAGCGCTCCAAGACGCCCAAGATGGCCCCAAGACGAGCCAAGAGGCCTCCAAGACGGCCCACGAGGCCTCCAAGAACAATCCTCAGAAGGGCCGAAGAGCCGAACATCATCAAATTCGTATGGGAAAACGTACATTTTCATCATATACGACTTGTCGGCCTTTACGGCGTTGAAGACGGGCCAAGAGCACCCCAAGACCGCCCCAAGACGGCCCAAGAGGCCCCCAAGAGGCGCCCAAGTCGGCCCAAGAGGGCGCCAAGACGGCCCAAGAGGCCCCCAAGACGGCCCAAGAGGGCCCCAAGACGGCCCCAAGAGGGGCCCAAGAGGGGGAGCTTGAACCGACAATCCGAGCCTTCCGCCCCAAGACGGCCCAAACGAGCGCTCCAAGACGCCCAAGATGGCCCCAAGACGAGCCAAGAGGCCTCCAAGACGGCCCAAGAGGCCTCCAAGAACAGTCCTCAGAAGGGCCGAAGAGCCGAAAATCATCAAATTCCTATGGGAAAACGTACATTTTCATCATATACGACTTGTCGGCCTTTACGGCGTTGAAGACGGGCCAAGAGCACCCCAAGACCGCCCCAAGACGGCCCAAGAGGCCCCCAAGAGGCGCCCAAGTCGGCCCAAGAGGGCGCCAAGACGGCCCAAGAGGCCCACAAGACGGCCCAAGAGGGCCCCAAGACGGCCCCAAGAGGGGCCCAAGAGGGGGAGCTTGAACCGACAATCCGAGCCGTCCGCCCCAAGACGGCCCAAGAAGCCCCAAGAGGCCCCAAGAGGCCCCCAAGACGCCCCTAAGAAGCCCCAAAAGGCCCCCAAGAGGGCACCAAACGGCCCCAAAACGGCCCCCAAGAGGCTTCGAAACTGCCTCCAAGAGTCCCGCGAGAAGCCCCCCAAGAGATCCCCGCGATCACCTCCTCCTCCTCCTCCTCCTCCTCCTCCTCCTCCTACTTCTCCTCCTTCTTCTCTTCCTCCTCCTCACGACCACACGCTGCACGCAACATTGCAGGAGAATGGTGCCGACACTGCATGCGACCCCAGAGAAACCACAACGCTTTTCGAACAAAAGGGTCGGCGGATGTGGCGTACGCCTATAGAATCAGAGGCGCCGTGGAATCTGGGGGGGAAATCGTGGGCCTGGCCATGATATCCACCGTTCCCTAGTCCAGTCCTCGCCCCCCTCTTGGCCGCCCCCGACCTGAGGAAGGACCTATGGAGACCTCGAGGAACCAATCTGACCCACGAGAAACGCCCAAGGAAGGACCCATGGGGAACCCCGACCCCCTTCCTGTGGCCAAACTGGGTCCTTGCTTTAGGTCGGGCATGTTTTCTTACAGGCGGATTTCGAAAGAAAACTAAGACATCGTCCAAACATACTCCTTGTAAGATAGTTATAACATAGGAAACCGGCACCATACTACTTGTTGACTAGCCTTGAAAATTCTTCCTGTAGAGGGACTTGTTCGACTTAATCCTTGCTCGAAATGTGCTGTCCTGGGAACAGCCCGGCCGACCCTCCTGGGAACAAGCAGCCAACACCAGCCACTTCTCGAAAGGTCCCGCTGGCCTTCTGCCAAATGGACTCTGTGGATGGCGCTCCTGATGCTTCTTGCCGTTGTTGTTTTCTTTGCCGCCCCGCGTGCTGCCGAGCGGTCTGGCCGGCACGGCCGATTGGCGTCCGCCCGACGCCCCGCACGGCTCGACTCGCGGGGGGCGGGGGGGGGGGGCGACACCGGCCGGGGCACTCGACGCCAGCCCTGCGAAAAGGTGCCCCGCGAGGAGGGGGGCCCCTACCCAGACATGCGGCGTCCTGCTTTTTTTCAGGACGGCGTCCTCGGAAATCCAAACCCTTCCCCCGGGCCCGGCTTTTCGTTCTGAGTCGTTTGTTAACGGTCCCGAGGCCCTGCGAGGGCCCCCAGGGGCCGAAATTGGCCAAACACCTCCCGCCCTGATTTTTGTGGTGCGACGCAAGCATGTCTGGGGAGGGAGGGGGGGGAGCATGGCCTGGCGAGGTGGCAGGGCCGAAAGGGGCCCGTTTAAAAAGTGGAGGCCCGCAGGCCGCTGCCACAAATGTTATATCCGAGCGAGGAGGGCCGGCGGAGCCCGGCCCTCGAAAAATAAAAAACAAAAAAGCGCGCGCGTGCAGCGCGTGGCGAAGCCGAGCGGAGCCCAGACCCCCGACGTCATATCTTTTTTCACGACGCGACCCTCGGGGCCTCCTCCTCCTACTCCTCCTCCTCCTCTTCCACCTCCTCCACCTCCTTCCTCCCTCCCTCCCTCCCTCCTCCTTCTCCTCCCTCCAAGAGGGTGGCGTCCAAGAGGGGGGGGGGGGGGGGGCGCAAGTCATGGCCGCTGGCATGTGCGCGGCCCAGGTGCTGGGGACGTATTGAAATGAGAAGAGGTGCCGACGTCATGATTTTTTCAGGACGCAACACCCAGAAGCTCGGACCTCTTCCCCAGGACCGTCTCTTTCTGAGCAGAGGCCTCCTTGATGCGGTCGGAGTAGACGGGGTCGGAGGATCACGCCGCATTGCCGATACATCGGCGATGTATCGGCGATGCATCAACGATGCATCGGCGATGCATCGTCAACGTCGGCGGTGCATCGGCAACGTCGGCGTCAAGCAAATCGGGCTCCGCATCGAGCCGCATCGTCGATGCATCAGCGATGTGGCGCGATTCTCCGACCCCATCTACTCCGTCCCCATCTAGAAGGCCGAGGCTGAGTCGTCTTCTGACGGTCCCGAGGCCCCGGTGAGGGCCCCGAGAGGCCCAACGTGGCAAACAGCCTCCCGTTGTGGGCTCTTCACGACGCGAGGGGGTCTGGGAGCAGGACGCCGACCGCCGACACGGGCAAGCCTCGGGCCTCCTTGGTGGGCGCTGCCTGCCCGCGCCTCAGGGGAAGACGGGCGGCGCCGGCCTCGAGGGCTGGTCGGCGCCGAGTGCTGCGCGGCCTCCGGCCGCGGGCCCGGGAGGCGCGGGGCGAGGGCGCCACAGCTGCGGGGCCGAGGGGGCCCGCGCGCCCACGGCCGCGCGGACGGGCGGCGCGTGTCACGGCGCCGGGGAGAGCTCGCAGAGGGGACGCATGCTCGCGTCGCAGAAAAATCAGGACGGGAGGTTTTGGTCAATTTCGGGCTCGGGGGGCCCTGGCAGAGCCTCGGGACCGTCAAAAAACGACTCAGGACGAAAAGCTGGGGCCGGGGAAAGGGTTTGGACTTCCGAGGGCGCCGTCCTGAAAAAATCAGGACGCCGCATGTCTGGGTAGACCACTCCTGCAGCCTTGGGGAGGAGAGCACCTCGCCGATGAGGAGGCGCCCGCGCGAGCGGCCAAAGCGCGCACAGCCTCCCCTCTCACGCCGTGGACGCGACCTTGGCGAAGAACGACGGCACGCCGGAGCCGGTGTCGTCTTGCTCCCCCCTCTCCACCGCCTCCTGGCGCTTGCTCCAGGCCTCGTGAGCGTCGTTCTTGCCTCGCTCCGCCACCTCGGCAACGAGCTTGTCCACCTCGGCCTGGCTTCCCCACTCGTGCGGGTGGAAGGAATACAAGAACGAGAACTGGGCCGTGAAGATGCCCGGCAGCAGGTACCTCAGGTAGTTCACGACGACCGGGGCGTAGCTGAAGTCCCCGCGGCCCTGGCCGTGCGGGCTGGCCAGGCCCTCTTCCGGCTTCCAGGGGAAGGTGAACGTGTCCAGGAGCAGGTCCGAGGCGATGCGGGACAGGAACTGCACGGCGGCCGTGCGCAGGATGCGCTCCGAGTAGTACTCTTCGAGCGCGGCGGGCACCTTCAGGGGAGAGCCCAGAGTCGGATCGGTGAGTGGGATCGGCGATCGAAACACGTCGGATCGATGGACACCGGCAGCCGAGTCGGGAAAAGTCGAATCGGCGGACATCGGCACATCAGTAAGTCTCCATGGAGAGATCGGAGACAAGATCGGAAGCCGAAGCCGAGCCGAACCGGAATCGGAGGAACCGAAACGAGCCCTGCACCTGGGAGGTGTTGGTGATGGCGCGCAGCTTCTGCGTCAGCACGTAGCCGTCCTCCATGGCCTGGCAGCCGCCCTGGCCGAGGTTCGGCATCATCGGGTGGCAGGCGTCCCCCATGAGGGCCACGGGGCCGTCGGCCCAGGACTTGAAGAACGAGGGGGGGCGGTCGTAGAGGGAGCGGTCCTCGATGACCGCAGCGGGCGTGGCCTCGAGCAGGTCGAGGATCTGCTGGGACCAGCCCCAAAACCGCTTCCGGACGAAAGACTTCTTGTCCTCCGACTTCGCCGGGATCTGCACGCTCTCCGGCACGCCGACGAACGCGTACCACTGAATGCGCCCGCGGCCGACGTCGGAGGTCACAAAGTACTGCTTGGGCCCCATGTAAACCTTGTAGCCGACCTCGAAGTAGTCCTCTGGCTGGTAGACGGTCTCTCCAGCGAAGACGATGTAGCCGCTGTAGCTGCACCCCGAGTTGGGGCCCTTCTTGTCCTCGTTCCACATCTGCGCGCGGGTGGCAGACCAGATGCCGTCGGCGCCCAGGAGCACGTCCGCCTCCACCGTCTCGCCGTCCTCGAGGTTGATCTTCACGCCCTGGAAATCGGGCAGCTTCTCGTAGCTCGCCACCTTCTTCCCGTTCTGAACGGTTCCCTCTGGGAGCGAGTCGAGGAGGATTTCCTGCAGGTCGGGTCTGTCGACGACGCCCGTGTAGGGAAGCTGGAACGCCTGGGCGCTGGACTTCATCGCGTCGAACGGGCAGTACCACTCGGTCCGCAGGGCGTCGACGAGGCCGTTCTTGCGGTTCCCTGTGAACGTGAAGCGCTTCATGAGCTCTCCGAAGAGAGGCTCGTCGATAGCCCGGATCGTGGACAGCGCGTTCGAGGCCATCTGGATCGGGCCCCCGAAGCGGGCGAAGGCGCTCGCCTGCTCCAGCACGGTCACCTCTACGTTGGGCAGCTTCGACAGCGACTTCGCCGTCACCAGGCCGCCAACGCCGCCCCCAGCGATGACGACGCGGAGCTTCTTGGCTTCGCTCACCTCCTTCCCGGCGGCGCGGAGGGACATCGGCGACGCGCGCCTGGGAGGGGCCCGATGTCTAACCACCACGTCGCTTGGTCGGCCAAGGAGCTCGGTGGACAGACGCCCCAGCTGCCCAACCCCTGGGACGCTGGAGGGTATGTACACACCAAACTCCTACAACCGAATTCATTGGCTCCTCGGCCGACCAGACGACGTGGTGTACCCAAACATGCGACGCCCTGATTTTTTCAATGCGGCGTCCCCGGAAGTCCAGACCCTTTCCTGGGGGCCGGTTTTTCAGCGTGAGTCGGTTTTTGACGGTCCCGGGGCCCGGCGAGGGCCCCCAGGGGCCGAACATAGATCGAGAATCACGAAACACCTGCCGTCCGTCCTGACTTTTTTTTTGCGCGACGCGATCGTGTCTGCAGGTATCCATCCAGCCTTAAGTCGGGCGTGTCCCCCTACAGGGGGATTTTCGACGAAAATTTTTTAAAATACCCCAAACATACACCAAAAAGCCAACAAATAATTAGAAAATAGTCCCCAGACTATTTTTGAATTATCTTTTGACTATTTTGGGGTATTTTCTATTTTTCGTCGAAAAAAACCCCTGTAGGGGGGCAGGCCCGACTTAAGTCGAGCCCCTCCAGGCGCCCGCGGCGGGCCCCACGCCGACCGCGCCCCCGCAGCGCGCGGCCGCCCAGGGCGCCCAGCGCCCCCGCCGCGAGGGCCGAGGCCGCCGCCGGGCGGCCCACGGCGCCGGCGGCGCCCGCGGCGGCGGGGGCCCCGGCGGCGGCGGCCGGGCTCCGCGCGGGCGGCGCGCGCGGCACGGGCGCCGCGGCCGCGCTCGGGCCGCGCGGGAGCTCCAGGAAGGCGGCCATGCTGCGGCGAGGCCGCGGCTCGCCGGCCGAGCGGGCGAGGGGCAAGGCGAGAGGGGGGGGGACCCGGCACATAAGGGGGGGGGGGGTAATGCATCGACCTGGCCTCGGCGGCGGCGATGTGCGTCGCCGAGGGATCGGCGATGCAGGCCTCCGAGCGTGGATCCGCGCCTTCCTGGGCAGGTTGGGGCTAGCGGGGCCCTGTTGGCGATCAATTGGCGATTGGGGGTCCGATGCACCCCCCCCTGTGCCGAGCCCCCCCCCTATCGTTGCCCCCGAGCGGGGGTGGGGCGGAGGGCCGACGGCGGTGACTCGGGCTGCTCGCGCGGAGGGCCGCTGCGCTTGCGCCACAACGTGGCTGCGGATGGGGTGCCGATCTTGGGGCTGGGCCACCGAAGTGCACGCACCGCGCCCCGCGATGGATGCGCGGTGGGCGCGGCGCCTCCAGAGAAGGGCTTCTGCCAAAGCATCCGAGGATTGTGTGTGTATGTGTGTGTGTGTGTGTGTGTGTGTGTGTGTGTGTTTGTGTGTGTGTGTTTGTGTGTGTGTGTTTGTGTGTGTGTATGTGTGTGTGTGTGTGTGTGTGTGTGTGTGTGTGGCACGCTGCTTGACTCCTCGCGGCCGCCGACCAAAAAGGTGTGTGTGTCATGTGCGCGCCCGGTTCCGAACTCCTCGACAACCCCGGCAAGCGGGAGGCCATCACCCCGCAGGATTGGAGCGAGACGGGCTTTGGCGACGCGCGTCCCGGGTCTCCAACGATCACCTCCAACCGCTCCTGCAGGACGGCCCCCCTCGGCAATCGCAAGCTTTGCCAGGTGAGCGACGACCAAACACGTCTCACGCGAGATGCGACGGCGACCTTGCGCCGCGACTTGCGCGGGCCGCCAGCGCGGCACGCCACTTTGAAAGTGGGCGCGCTTGTACGCGTGACCTTACGCGGGGAGCTTACGCTTAGGTCCGGCATGTCTCCCGACAGGCGGATTTTGGACGACAAATAAACAGGAGTCAAAACAGACTCAATCAGAGATGATCAAAAGAATCGTCCTCAGACTGTGTTTTTGACCATTTCTGAACATTCCTCCTGTGGAGGGACGTGCCCGACTTAAAGCTTACGTGTGAACGTCGGCGCAGACGACCCTCGGGCCGGGCGAAAGGTGGGCATAGCAAAGGGGGGGTTTGAGAATCAGCTCACGTAGCTGATTTTCCCAGCGCCTCCCAGCGCCGGCAGGCGCTCATGTATCGAGGAATGGGCCTGGCGGCGGGGCCGAAGCCAGCTGCACGCAGCAGATCTCGACCCCCCCCTTTCCCTATCCCCCCCTTTCGTTCGGCCCGAGGACCCCGTGCCTTGCGTGCCGCTCAGGCCTGCCTCGTCCTCGAGGGCCCTCGGGCCGCCGCCGCCGCGTCCCGAGGGCTCCAGGCCTCCGGGCGCCCTCGGCCCCCTCCCTGCGCCCTCGGCCCCCTGCCGGCTCCAGCGCGGGCGCCCAGGCGGGCCCCTCCCCCTCCTCCCCCCTCCTCCTCCTCCTCCTCCTCCTCCTCCTCCTCCTCCTCCTCCTCCCTCCTCCTCCTCCTCCTCCCTCCTCCTCCTCCTCCTCCTCCTCCTCCTTCTCCTCCCTCCCTCCTCCTCCTCCTCCTCCTAACTCCTCCTCCTCCTCCTCCTCCTCCTCTCCTCCTCCTCCTCCTCCTCCTCCTCCTCCTCCTCCTCCTCCTCCTCCTCCTCCTCCTCCTCCTCCTCCTCCTCTCCGGCGGGGAGCGGGTGCGCCAGCGGCCAGGCGGGCGCGCCCGCCGCCCCCCTCCTCCCCGCCATCGCTCGTGCGTCCTGCAGGCTTTGCTGAGTGGGTTCGATCGGGGCGAGCTCCCGGGCTGGCGCCACGGGGACCTCGAGGCGACGCGCGCCCTCGCGTCGGAGGCCTCCAGGTCCCCTCAGTGGGGGGCTCTCGCACCCGCCACCGTTCCCCAGGCCTGCTGGCGCTTTGCCGCACGCCACCCGCCCCATTGAGACAGGGATCAGCTACACGCAAGAGTGACCCCGAGTCAGAGCGGCCTTTGGTGCGCGGCTTTTTGGGGGCCGCGAGGGGGCCACACACAAGAGCGCTAGAGGCTACCATCGCATCGCGTTCGGCGATCCGGGGGCCCAATTGGGCCCGCACCAAAGGTCACCCTGGCGAACGGGCACTCTTACGTCTAGTCGAACTGCGTCGCCTGCGCCTGCCACCCGCGGCAGGTCCTCCGGCTCTCACCCACCCCACGTGGGGCTCCTTAAGGGGGCCTGCCCAGCGCTATAGTTACGGCCCCGGGCGTGGCCGCTCGTCCGCCACCTGTGCCCCCTGACGAGACTGTCCTGGCTCCCGGGGGGCTGTGTGGCCGCCCCCGCAGTGCCGCCAGTGCCCCCTGCCAGCCCGGTGCCCGAGGCCGAACCCCAGGCATGATCGCGTCGCGCAAAAAAACATCAGGAGGGAAGGTTTTTGGCCAATTTCGGCCTCGGGGGGCCCTCTCTGGGCTCCGGGGCCACCATAAACCGACTCAGGATGAAAAACCGGTCCAGGGGAAGGGGTCCGGACTTCTGGGCACCCGAACTCCCGTGGGACACTCGCGCTCCATGGTCCCCCCCTAGTGGTGCCACCTCCGGGCCAGCGCGCGCCCCGTCTGCCGGCTGGCGGCCAACCCTTCTGCCCGCGAGGGGCCGCCCCTTCCGCGCGCACCGTCGCGACACCCCCCCGCGCGCCTTGCCTCCGGCAGGCCTGGCCTGGCCTCTGGCTCCGCTGGCGACTCCGACGACGCCCAGATGCAGCGCCTCCTGGCTCACAGAAGCGCGCTCCACTGTGCTCGCCACGCTCCTGCCGACCGTGTCGCAGCGGCTGAACATGCGCATGTGGGCGGCGTGCCGGCACAGAGGCGGGCCGAACAGCGCTGGCGCCACGATCCCGTCGCCAGGCGCCTCTTCGGCCACGGAGCTTGAAGCTTCCTGTGCCTCCCTCTCTCCTCCTCCTCCTCCTCCTCCTCCTCCTCCTCCTCCTCCTCCTCCTCCTCCTCCTCCTCCTCCTCCTCCTCCTCCTCCTCCTCCTCCTCCTCCTCCTCCTCCTCCTCCTCCCCCTCCTCCCCCTCCCCCTCCTCCTCCCCCTCCTCCCCCGACTTCACCGCCCTCGCTGGCGCCTCTCCCCCACGTGCTCCCCCCCTGCGGAGGGCGCGGCCCCCGTCGAGGGTGGCCCTGCCGCGATGCAGCGGCCCGCCTCCCGCCCGCTCCGCGCACTGCACGCGGAGGCGGCGCCGAGGGCTGCCGCGGCACCCGCCCTGCAAGCGGGGGGGGCTCCAACGTGCCCTGCCTCTGCCTCGGCCCCAGCCGGCGGGCCGCTTCGCTTGGCACTTGGTGCGTCCGCCCCCCCCCCCCCCCCCCCACAGTGGAAGCAGCGCTAATGACCGATCCAGCCGATGATATAGAGATGATGACCCGACATCAAGGATAGAGAGGATGACCAAACCATCAATGAGATGTACGTGCTGATGTTGATCCGTTGTGACACAGCTGGGTCGCCGTGTCGCACGGCTCCCTGCCCCCCCGCCCGGGATAGCCCCGGTTGGCCCTGCCGGGCTATCCCTCTTTGAGCAGGGACCGACCGTCCCGGCATTCCTATATGCATACCACGATCTGTTCTTAGAACCCGAAGATGTTCTAAGAACCAAAACGGTGTTCTTAGAACATAAACCCGACGTGTTAAAACAAGACAATCTCAACCAAACATGTTCTAAGAACATTTCGCGGAAACCACAAACAGGTTCTTAGAACACTGTTTGGTAGGGCTATAGGCACGCCGGGACGCTTCGCCACTGCTTGACCTCTGGGGCTCCTCCCGCGGCCCCTGCCCTTGCAGGACGGGCGCCGCCCTCCGCGCGGGAGCTCCGACGTCGAGGCGACGGTGCTCGGGCTCCGGTCCCGTGGGCCCCAGGGCGCTCCCACTTTTTGGATCGAGGCCTGGGACTCACCCCTCGCAGCGGCCAACTCTCCCACGCGGAGGGCGCCCGTTCGCCGCTTTCCTTCTGGGGCCCGTCTGGCCAGCGCTGCCCTCCCCCCCCCCGCCCCCCCCCCCCCCGCCCCTTCGTTTGAGCAGGGACCGACCGTCATGCCCTTAGACCAACTGGACGTCCTCTTATTGAAAACAATGTTCTCATAACAGAAGGCCGATGTCTTAGCCAGAAGCGTTCTGAGAACATCTCGTGCAGACCACGGCAGGCTCTTAGAACATTCTCTGGTGGGCCTATAGGCAAGCCAAGACGCTTCGCCGTTGCTTGACCTTCTTGCCGTTCCCCTCCGCAGGGCGCTGGGTCTAGAAGAAGAAGACTCGCCATCAACATAAACTCTGTGCACTTCGCGCGGATTTCTTGGATCTGCCCTGGGCCCCCCTCCCTAGCGCGCGGAGCGCGCCAGGGGCGGCGCCGCCAGAGGGGCCCAGCGCAGATCCAAGAAATCCGCGCGTAGCTCCGAAAGTTTATGTTTATGGCGTGCTGTCTTCGAAGGCCCTCCCTGCCCTTGCCTTGTCGGGGCTGGCCGCCGCGCCTCGTGCCCTCCGCCGCTGCGGCCCCCAGGCCGCGCTGCCGCTCGCCGCCTTCTGGCCGGCTCCGGCCTCCCCGCCACTCCGCTCGCTGCCCGCCCCCCCTTGTCTTCTCGGGGGGCCAGCCTTGGGCCGCTCCTTCACTCGCCATCGCTCGGACGTCCATGCCCCGTGCACTTCTCGGCCTCGTGCGTGTCTTTTGTCGCAGCGCTCCTCGATGGTCCTTGCCGAGGACAGATGCACACGCCCGAGCGATGCCAAGTTCAAAGACCGCCATCTCGGCCGCCGCCGTCCCGCCCGCCGCCCGGCTTCGCCGGCTTTCGCGGTTTCCTCTGCCTGCAGCTTTTGCGGCTCGCCGCCTGCTGCAGCTCTCCCTGTCGCTCTTTGCGTTCTCTTTGTCGGTTCAATCTGCTTACTCGTTCTCCCCGCCTTCCAGTCCCGATTGGCTCATGGCACCCTCCACCTCACCGAAATTTCGTCTGCTCACCACCCCCTCCCCGCCGTCCACGCCAGGATGGGTATGGCTGTCGGCGGCTGCGAGGCTCAAAATGGTTCTGAATGCCAGGGCGGGCGTACACGCGCGCGCTTCGCTGTTTCCTAACCTTCGACGTCCTGTCGCCGCGCGCAGGGCCGCGACGCCAAAATGTGTGTATGTGTGTAAATATAAGTGTGTGTGTGTGTGTGTGTCACCTTTTTGTGCGCCGCCTCCTGCCCCACCCCTCCCGGTCCCCTGGCCACCTGACGCGCCCCTGGCGGTCACGCCGCAATGCCCCTGTCACTGCCAGCCTTCTGGCGGCGTTGCCACCTCCTTCCGGCAGCCCCGGCCCCCTGGCCACCTGGTGCGCCCCGGGCCGCCGCAATACCCCTGTCACTGCCTCTGCTATGCTCCCGCTTCCGCACGGCTCAGTGCTATGCCTACTCCTCGGCGCGCCGCGGTACCTCTGCCGTTCGGTGTCCCACTGCGCCTGCCCGCCAGCTACAGCTGCTGGCAGCCGCCCTCCCGCCACCCTTGCCACCGAAATTCGTCACGGCCGCCCACCGCGCTCTGGCCCTGCGCGCCTGACTGCTGCCGCCCCCCCCCCCCCGACTGCTCATCGTCGTACTCTTCGGCGTCTGTGCGTCCCTTCTTCCTCTCGGCCGTACCCCCCACTCCCTCTTTTGCCCGCCGGCCAATTCGCTAGTTAGTGCCCCTTCGTAGCTTCTCGCTGGAGCGGATTTCGCCGCCTCGCCGCCGACGGAAAAAGTGTGTGTGTGTGTTGTGTGTGTGTGTGTGTGTGTTTGTGTGTGTGTGTGTGTGTGTGCGTGCTCGCGCGCAGGTGTGTGTGTGTGTGTGTGTGTGTGTGTGTCAACCCACAGCCCCACGGAATTCTCGACCCCTTCCTTGGGGCTACACTTGTCGTCCTCGAACAGTCCTGGGGCCCGAGGAGAAACCTTTCACGGGCCGGAGTTGAGGGAGCACGCCGGGATTGAGGCAATCACTCTGACGGAGAAGTTTGCATCGCCGGCACAGGCTGCGACTCGGCAGGCGCGCTTACTTCCGCGCCCCCACAGGTGACGCTCGGGTCGCTTCGTGCGGGCCGCGGGCCTGGCGTTCTCCTCGCTGAGCACGGCGACTTCCTCCCTCAGCGCCCCGTTGGCGTCATGCAGCTCCCTCAGCATTGCCGCCTCCGTGCCTTCCGGCTCGAGGTCCGCCCCCTCCTGCTGGGGGCCGCCGTAGCGGGAAAGGGGGGGGGGCCGGATGAAAGGGGCTGTGGAGGTTCTCCACCCTGCTCGGGCTCTCGATGCCCCTTCCTGGGCCCGCGGGGCCGTCATCGGAGGCCTCCAGGATGGGGTCAGAGCAGAGGGGGTCGGAGGATCACGCCGCATCGTCGACGCATCACCGGTGCATCGGCGATGCATCGGCGACGTCGGCGTAGAGCAAATCGGCCTCCACATCGAGCCGCATCGCCGATGCATCGGCGATGCGACGCGGTCCTCCGACCCCATCTGCTCTGAACCCATCTGGAGGCCTAGAGCTTGGACGCCGGAAATAGGTCCGGAACAGCGGGTACGAGGTACGATGCCCAACAGCACATGTTGCCCCAAACCGACAGCCAGCCGCTGGTGGACAGGCGGCCTCCTGTCTCAAAGAAACCACGCCCGCAGCGGCATGGACAGCGAGTCCTGTTCAAGAGGGGCAGGATCTGCTGCTCACGCGTCGGCGGCGGCGGTCGGAGGGGCGAGGGCGCGGAGACTCGATAGGGGGACGCCTCGGGGGCACCCAGGACGGGGGGTGGCTCGCAGATTACAGCCCGAGGCGCGCGCGCGCACAAGGGAGGGCGAGCCAGATGGGGCTCCTCGGGGGCGTCCACAAGGGGGGGGGGGAGGCTCGCAGATCCTGGCCTCGGGCGTGTGCGCGGACGAGTGGTGGGGCAGGCAGAAGAGGGGCCCCTGAAAGCCTCCTGGCCCCGACCACGATCTGCCCCCCTCCCCCCGCGCCCCCCCCCCCCCCTCCTCCTGGCCGACCCCGAGCTCCGGCCCCCCTCCCGTGGCCCCGAGCTCGGCCGGAACTCGAGCGCATGCTTGGAAGCGCCCGGCTCCCGGCGCCCCAGCGACGTGGCGGAGGTGGGCGGGCATCCCCGCCCGCGCCCACGTGCGGGCGGCCTTGGGGGCCAGTGGCCCGCTGCTGGCCGAGCGGTGCGCAGGCGCGCGGCCGCATCTGCACCACAGCTCCAGCTCGGGTGGGCCACGTCATGCGCATGGTGGGTGCACACGATGTGCTTTGTTCTTTGGGGCAGCAGGCTACATACGTCGTGAAGTATTCCGCAGCAAGTGGCAAGCACGCGTGCTGCACTCGGGAGCTGGCAGGCCACAAATGCCTCGCCGTCACGCCGCAGTGCGTGATCCCACACCGGGTAGTATGCAGTCCCCCCGACGAGGGCCGAGAACACGGTAAGAAATCTTAATTGCTATGAGAATTCTTGGGGCACATTCGTCGTCGATGTTTGAGGGTACTGGGGTGCCCTGGAGCTCCTGTCGGTCCCTGGACCACCTGGGGACAAGAAGTTTCCTTGGGACACCTGCTCGTAGGCCGATTTTTTGCTTGATGCACCTGCTGTCTCCAGCCTCCTGGTGATGCATCGTGCTTTTGGGATCCCTCCTGGGGGTCGAACCAGAACACCTGCCCCTCGTTCCCGGTGGCCCGCTGGAGCTGATCGCGGAGCCACCTGGGCGACGGAAAACAGGAACAAGTCTTAGTCTTCGGCGAGATGACAAAGCGGGCCGCCGGCGCGGCACGCCACATCGGAAGCGAGGTTGATCACGCGCGACCTTACGAGGGACGCGTGCGCGCCAACCCAACTCCCGACGTCGTAATTTTTCACGACGTCGACCCCCAGAGGCCTGGACCCTTCCCCAGAACCAGTTTTTCATCCTGACTCGCTTCTTGTCGGTCCCGAGGCCTGGTAGGGGCCCTCAGGGGCCGAAGATAGCGAAAAACCTCCCGTCGTGTTTTTTTTTCACAGCGCGATGGGGTCTGGGAGTGTCGGTGACGACGGCCCCGTTTCTTCTTCCGCCGCCCGCCTGATCTCTTTGTAGTACTTGAGGCGGCAGACCTTCAGCGCCTCCAGGACCTCGTCGTGCCTGGCGTGCTCGTGCTCGCACAGCCCCTTGAGCTTCAGCACGGAGGCCAGGGAGACGAGCAGCCGCGGCCCCTCGTCCCTCTGCGTGGCGTCCTGGTACACCATCTCGGTCTTCGTCTCCCTGCGCAGCCCAGCGCCCCCCGGCGAGGAGGACGCGGGCAGGCTGTACGAGATCTCCAGCATGCCAGGCGTCGCCACCAGCCTGGCTTCATCCTCGCCACCGGCCTGGCCCAAGAGCGCCGCCCACCTGTCGCTCTTCAGCACCATCGGGATGTGCCTACGGCACGTGCCCCATGGTATGCAGGAGCGCTGGCACACATCGCTCAGGCCCAGGCAGCTTCTTGAACCAACAAGGCTGTGCATGAACGGGGCAACGCTATTTCTTTTTGAGGGGGGGGGGGGGGCATCGCGGCTCCACCGAACCCTACTTACCACAGAGGGAGGACAGGGGAGGAAGGAGGGAGGAATAGAGGAGGACGAAGAGAGGGAGTAGGGCGCCTGAGTCTCAAGGGAACTAATGTTTGGTATTAGAGGGGCTGGTGTCCAGGGCCCTGAACCCCATCAAACAAATCTGCCACGATGGGATGGCGTTTGACTGAACTTCTATGATCGATGATGCTGGCGTTGACGTGCAACACAACGCGCCCACTTGTTTGCTGGCCTGCGCTCGCTTGTGTTGCCCCCCTTGTCCCCCAATGCCTTCCTGACCAGCCCCACCCGAAGTAAAAGAAGCCACCGAGACGCCACCCTGTAGGTTCGGGCCCTCGTGCATCGGCCAGGGCCGACAGCAGGGTAAGCGAGCAGATGCCAAATCAGCCGCAATGACCTCAGGGCGAGGAAGATGGCGAGGCGAGACGAGCGCGCCATGTCGGTCCGACGGGACTAGCCCTACAAAGGCGGCGCGGGGGGTCCAGGGCCCTGAGGAGACGCGTTGTGAACAGGAGTCGGGGTCTGAATCGTGGGGCTCGAAGTTGGAGACGAGGAGGTGAATTTGCTTGACGTCGTCGTCGTTTGGAGGAGGACGAAGAGCGCTTACCGACAAATGGCCCACGTGCACGCCATCGCGGCGAGTAAAGGGCCGCCGGTGTAGCATAACTCGCAGATTACCCTGGCCAGGGGTTCCCAGAAGTTAGCCGTTTGGCTTGTGGCCGATTGCACGGCTGGCCCATCGACGGACATGCAATCAGCGAGAAGGTGCATTATGTGAGAGAGAATGATGATGATGATGATGATGATGATGATGATGATGATGATGATGATGATGATGATGATGATGATGATGATGATGATGATGATGATGGTGGTGTTGATGATGATGATGATGGTGGTGGTGGTGATGATGATGCTGATGCTGATGCTGATGATGATGCTGATGCTGATGAGGATGATGAGGATGATGATGACAAAAATCACGACGGAACATTTTTCGCTATTTTCGGCCTCTCGGGGCCCTCACCGGGCCTTGGGGCCGTCCACGGAACGATTCAGGAAGAGAAACCGGTCCCGGGGAATGGGTCCGGACCTCTGGGGGTCGCGCCACTGGGCTTCCCGGGGCCAAGTGGTCGCCCTCGGCTCGCTTTTTGAAGATCCCCGGGCCCGAACACGGACACCGCAAGGCGACGTCGAGGAACGCAGCGCCGGGGCGGAACACCTCGAGGAGGCCTCGTGGCTTGGCAGAGGCCGGCGCGCGCCCTCCAAGGCGACCGCGCCCTCCGCGCCCCGACGCCTGTGGGGCTGGGCCGAAGAGGCCTTCGCTGGGAAGGCGCCCCGTGGGCACCCGCTGGGCACCCGCTGGGAAGGCGCCCCTTGCTCCCAGACCCTCGGCGCCGGCGCCGCCGCAGCCCTGAGGTGCTCGCGGGTAAGGGGCCCGCTTCGTCCGAGGCCTGCTCTGTACGTGGCCTGCTTCGCCCCGGCCCGCTTCGCCCTGGAACCCGCTTCGCCCGAATCCCGCCTAGCCCGCAGCCCCGTCTCGCCGGGCAGCCCGCCCGTTGCGGATCCGCCCGCCCGACCCGCCTTTCAAGGTCCGCGGCCGCCCCGCCCGCCTGGCGGGGTCCGCCCGCCCGACGCGACCATCCCGTCAGGGTGTTCACCCGCCAGATCTGACCGGGCTCGCCCGCCCGATCCGACCCGCAAATTGGTGTCCGTCCGCTTGACCAGCCCGCCTGTCAGGGTCCGCCCGCTCTGCCCGACCCGCCCGCCAGGGTAACGCGCTGGCGCCCCGCCCGCCCGACCGCCCGCCCGTTGGGGTCGGCCCGCCCGACCGGGCCCGCGCGCGCACGAATTCGATGCTTCATCATGCGTGGACGTCGGTATCGGGGGTCTAACGGGGGCCCGCGTTTTCAAGGTTTTTCGTAGCGTTCCTGCATCCCCTCAGGAACGCGGAGGATGATGAGGAGGAGGAGGCTCATTCTCTTCCCTTTCCTTCAGGACGCAGGAGGAGGTCCCCTTCCCTTCCCTTCCCTTCCTCGCAGGAAGGAGGATGTTCATTCCCTTCCGTTTCCCTCAGTTCAGAGGATGAGGATGTTCCTTCCCTTCCCTTCCCCTCAGAAGGAGGAGGGGGCGGGGGCAGGGTCCTTCCCTTCCCTTTCCCTCAGGGAGGACGAGAAAGAGGTTCGCTTCCTGCCCCTTTCCATCAGAAGTACGAGGAAGAGGAGGAGGAGGCTCCTTCCCGTCCTTTCCCTCTGGAAGGAGGACGAGGATGAGGCCCCTCCCGTTTCCCTCGGAAGGAGGAGGAGGAGGAGGAGGAGGTTCCGTCCTTTCCCTGTCCATCAGAAGGAGGAGGAGGAGGTGCCTCCCTTCCCTTTCTCTCAGGAAGGGGAGGAGGATGCTCCTTCCCTTCTCTTTCCCTCAGGGCAGAAGAGGAGGAGGTTCCTTCCCTTCCCTTTCCCTCAGAAGGAGGAAGAGGGGGAGGAAGTTCCTTCCCTTCCCGTTCCCTCAGGGAGGACGAGGAGGAGGCTCCCTTCCTGTCCATGTCCATCAGAAGGAGGAGGAAGAGGAGGATGAGGAGGAGGCTAATCCCACCAGCCCTTTAGGGCGTAGGTGGTCTAGGGAGTTTCCTCTGCCAACCCCCTTCTTCCCCTTCGGGGAGGGGTTTACCCCTCCCCTTACCCCCTCCCCACTGACCTGGACGGGGCCGGTCGCGAGGTGTCAGAGCGTCCAAGATGGCCCAAGACAGCTCCAAGAGCGAACAGGCGAGATAACACAAAACATTGATTTTACCTAGGTTTTGGAAGGATTTTGGCATCTTGGGGGGGCCCAAGAGGCGACTCGAGGCACTCTGGAGGGGCGGGGCTAATAAGCAACCCCCCCTTCTTTGATAGATCTCCTCCAAGATGGCCCAAAGAGCGCCCCGAAGGCTCCCAAGAGCGCCCCAAGAGCGCCTCAAGAGGGCCCCAAGAGACCCCAAGAGGCCCCCAAGAAGCCTCCAAGACGTTGCCAAGAGACCCCCAAGAGGCCCCAAGAGAGTCCAAGATGACCCAAGACGGCTCCAAGAGCGAAAAGGCGAGAAAGCAACAAACATTGATTTTACCTAGGTTTTGGAAGGATTTTGGCCTCTTGGGGCGCCCAAGAGGCGACTCGAGGCACTCTAGAGGGGCAACGCTGATTGGGGACCCCCTCTTCTCTGATCGATCTCCTCCAAGATGGCCCCAAGAGCGCCTCGAAGGCTCCCAAGAGCGCCCCCAAGAGCGCCCCGAGAGCGCCCCAAGAGGCCCCAAGAGGCGCCCAAGAGGCCTCCAAGAGGCCCCCAAGAGACCCCCAAGAGGCCCAAGAGGCTCCCAAGACGGGTCCAAGAGCGAAAAGGCGAGAAAACAAAAAATTATCCCGGCAAAGCAACCTGACAGCGATGTGTAGAAGCATATCTGAAAGCATTTCCCTTAAGATTCAGATGAAAATCCAGTTGTCGAATTCTGCTGTTCTCGCAGTCGTAGTCGCATTCGCGATGACAGTCGCAGCGGCAACGGCAGTCGCAGTCACAGCCTCAGCCTCAGCCTGCCTCCTCCTCCTCCTCCTCCTCTTTCTCCTGCTCCTCCTCCTCCTCCTCCTCCTCCTCTTCCTCCTGCTCGTCCTCGTTCTCGTCCTCCTCGTCTTGCTCGTCCTCCTCCTCCTGGTGCTCTCTCCTCCTCCTCCTCCTCCTCCTCCTCCTCCTCCTCCTCCTGGTGGTCCTCGTTCTCCTCCTCCTGGTGCTCTCCCCCCCCCTCCTCCTCCTCGTCCTCCTCCTCCTCCTCCTCCTCGTCCTCCTCCTCCTCCTCCTCCTCCTCCTCCTCCTCCTCCTCCTGGTAGTCCTCCCCCCTCCTCCTCCTCCTCCTCCTCCTCCTCTTCCTGGTCGTCCTCGTTCTCGTCCTCCTCGTCTTGCTCGTCCTCCTCCTCCTGGTGTCCTCCTCCTCCTCCTCCTCCTCCTCCTCCTCCTCCTCCTCCTGGTGGTCCTCGTTCTCCTCCTCCTGGTACTCTCCCCCCCCCTCCTCCTCCTCCTCCTCGTCCTCGTCCTCCTCCTCCTCCTCCTCCTCCTCCTCCTCCTCCTCCTCCTCCTCCTCCTCCTGGTACTCCTCCCCCTCCCCTCCTCCTCCTCCTCCTCCTCTTCCTGGTCGTCCTCCTCCTCCTGGTCGTCCTCCTCCTCCTGCTCGTCCTCCTCCTCCTCCTGCTCGTCCTTCTTCTCCTGCTCCTCCTGCTCCTCGTCCTGCTCCTGCTCGTCCTCGTCCTCCTGGTCTTGCTCGTCCTCCTCCTCGTCGTGCTCTTGCCCCTGCTGAAAATGTGGCCCAGGAATGGGAGTTCTGGGAAGTCGAAGAGCACGAAGTTGCCTACAGTTGGCTACGGGCATTCAAAATGTGGCCCGGGAATGGAGTTCTGGGAACTCGAAGAGCACGAAGTGGCCTACAGTTGGCTCCGGGCATTCAAAATGTGGCCCGGGAATGGAGTTCTGGGAACTCGAAGAGCACGAAGTGGCCTACAGTTGGCTCCGGGCATCCAAAATGTGGCCCGGGAATGGAGTTCTGGGAACTCGAAGAGCACGAAGTGGCCTACAGTTGGCTCCGGGCATCCAAAATGTGGCCCGGGAATGGAGTTCTGGGATGTCGAAGAGCACGAAGTGTGTGACTGTTGCATCCGGGCATTCCTAAATGTGGCCCGGGAATGGCGTTCTGGGATCTCGAAGAGCACGAAGTGTGTGACTGTTGCATCCGGGTATTCAGAATGTGGCCTGGGAATGGAGTTCTGGGAAGTCGAAGAGCACGAAGTGTGTGACTGTTGGTGAAAAACGAGCCCGGCACCCT